TGAAGTTGGTCTCAACGTTGAGTACCCTCCACAGAGTATTAATACTACCCTTTTTCAGGTACACTGAATATAACTGAAGCAATCAGCTCGGAGGGTCATGATTGGTCTTATGAACGTACCTCACTGATGGGCAGCTGGGTTGGGATGTCTGTCTCATTGGGTCCATGAACTATCAGTTTCTATCAGAAAACAGTGGCAAACAATGAAGTCAATGAAAAGATCACTAATTTAAAATAACAGAAAAGGTCTCGCTACCTGATACTGTACACAAACATAGTCATTCTGTGGACAAGTTCAAGCCTGTCCATTGCTCTTTGGAATGAGCCAGTTGGGTATTTAAAAATGCCAAGGTCTTTCGGGAACAAAGCGTGCGCATGAGCCAGCACATGGCTACACTGATAGGACAGACTATCGGGCACACACGCAGCTGTTCCCCAATAGCTTCATCCTGGGCATGCTATGTTGGATTACTGAACTGGCTCATTGTGCACAAAAATTTGTAACTCTGCTCATCTTTGGTTTTGAAGGTTCTAAGACAGCAATTGTATTTACTAACCTTGGCACAAGGTACATTGGCACTAATTAGCACAGTAGGCTGCAAGAAAGAAAGAGGAAGAATGAACACATTGAGTTGTAGCCAGAGAATCTTTAACTAGACGATGAGGTTCACATCCTTCTATGGTATACGTCAGAGGGGTAGAATAATAACGAGAATTACAGGTGGGATAGAAGATGAAACCATGTGGGGTTTTATGACCTCGTGACCTTCAAGTGCTCAGAGAACATTTTGTCTTGGTGGTTCAGACAGTACACAGAGTCTTATATGTTTTCACAAGGTGTCATCCACAAAACTTATTCTTGTACTTTCACCATGGAAAGCCATCCACCATTTATAATGCGACCTCATTCCAAATAGGATATTTGATCTGAATCCAGCTCATGAGCAAACAACATGACTTATGGTACTTTACATGTATATCAAAGTGTTGCCAGCAGATCCATGCCAAGTTTCCAGCAAGTTGCTACCAAGCATGAAGGACACAAGCTTTAGGTTCTCATAAATGAACTTATCGGACATTGAAACCTCAATTTTGATTTCCCCCATCTTCACAGACCATCAAATCCTCCCCACTGACTGCACTTACATCGCACTGCTCCTTCTTCAGTGTCTGCTTGAGGTCCTTGAAGGAGATGCCGGAGACAAAGGGGATGATGTGCCACAGGACACTTAGGGTGTTGGCAATGGCTTCATTGGCACCCTCGTGGGGCGCACGACAGTGATAAACCACAAAGCCAAGCTGTTCAAGAGAACGAGCTATGGTTAACTTGTAAATTGCACAAAAAAAGACCATCTTGTAGAATTCACATGCTTTCCTATCCATCAAAAATGTGCACTGGGCATATCAATAACACCTTTGAAAATCTCCCGACAGAGAAAACAGAGGCATAATACACATTTTCTCAGGCATGCTGTCCATAAGGATGCAATACATTTCACCAATGAGATGCAGTGCAACAGTTAACAACATGATAACCAAATTCTGGTATAAATTATGAAATCACTTCAGGGGACATAAGTTGCAGCATAAAAACTTTGTCATACATTTATGTTTCATAAACTACAACTTTTGGCACCTACTGTGATTGTGTGAGTTAAGTCATACGCTGTTTTCCAATACTCAACTTCATCTCCGTCTCAGGCTTCACCCCCAAAACCAATCCCTGATTGTGGGCCTCAAGCGTTTAAATCAAATTGGATTACTGTAAGTTTTTGCTCTCTTGCATCTTATTTAGACTAATTAGTGCACTTACTGCTTCAAAGTCAGGTAGTGAAAAAACAGTTGAAGCCTGAGACTGAGCCGAAGCTGAGTATTGAATTTGGTTCTTAGGTGTGCATCATGCACTGTGTAGTTTCCATGAAATGTAGCATGTTTTGTTACATCATTCATGCAATTAAATAGAGCACAAGTGGAGTTATTTTTCAGTCATGACTGGTGCCTTGTGACGACAACAACTGTAGAGCTTAGACTAACCAGATAGTTGAAGAGACAATGAGCAGTCTGAGCTGGCAGCTCACCGTAGTGGGAAACCATCTTCTTCAACAACAGAATCAAGTCCTCCTGTGATTCAAAATCAAAATAAGATGACAAAAAACAAAGCAGTGAATGCAGGTCACAGGCCTATCTCGGACACACTGCTATGCAGACTTAAAGCACATCAAATGGGAGATTTTACAATCGCCTAGAAAAATCAGATCAAGTGGTAGCGATTCACAACAGACAGTTTCAGAATTGTCAGGTGATTTTAAAACTCTCACTTTCAGCATGATACCCAGCCCTGACTGCAGTTTGCATCTATTTCCAACATGAAAAAATTATTCAACACAGCCATGGTTGAAGCTCATGTGTCCATGCATTCTGGACACAGCTCCATGAAAAATAACTTTCCAAACCAAACTGTAAGCAACAGTTTCTGACATTTCTTATAAGACCCTGTTGCATTTTAGCAGTAGATTAAATGTGACCAGATGTCACAAATGGAGTCTTGTGGCCAGTTTGTTTTCATTGAATTTGTATTAGACAGAGCAACCTAGCTCTTGGTTTTTATTGTATCACAAGGCTCATCCTCTTCATAAAGTGGACATCATGTGGGTGAAAATGTTGAAGGTTCCTCTTGATTTACACTGAACAAGAGTTTCTTAGAGGTCATTAACTTCGAAAGTGATTCTAGAAAGTTCTGACTAATTTTGTCAGGTCTAATCACAAATACGTTTCTGATTCAGTATTGGGAGACTCATGCTCACTACTCCTTCAGTACTGGTGTACATCAATCTCAGAACGTAGGACATCACCAAGTATCCTTTTTATAATTATATCTCTATTTGAGACTAGGAAATACATGTACATGAGACTAATATCCACAATAAAAGCACTAGCTTCCTATTGAGTCAATCTAGTTCTCTTGAGAAGCATCAGTTACCATTAGGCCTGACTCATACCTGCTTGTTTTTGGCCGTAATCTTCTCCAAGATGTAGCGACAGATCAGTGCTGGCTCCTCCACAAGACACGCCCACAAGACTTTCTCGGCAACCTCACATACTACCAAGAAAGAAGGGAAACACAGTCACTGGGACTTGTGGCCTACTAATGAAAGGTCATAGTGGATCATGCTTAACTCTACAAAGTCTTATTAGGAACACAGTAAAAAAAAAATTTCTGCCCTTGAGCTAACTCATAAGTATGACTTACATGTCATGTAACATTTTTCACATGTAACACTTATGAATCAAAACTTGTGCATACATGTATGAGTTACATCTCATCATACATATGAGTTACGAATGATAACGCATATGTACAAGTTATCTCTCTTCCATACTACTTTAACAATACATAATTTTGTACAAGTTTAGATATGACACATAAGTTGTATGTACGAGATATAATTTCTATAATTTCGTAAGAGCCATATCTCCTACATGTGAGGTATAAGTCCTATGAATAGATATAAAGTTATACGTACAAGATACAAGACGTCCATAAACAGACCTCAGTACTGACGACGCCACACTTTGTTTACATTGTGTGCTTTCCTATGATGCCCAGTGGGCCGTGGGCCCCTACTTGCTCCATAGGGAAGTGCACATGTATTTTCTCACCATGTCCCTTTCCCAATACAACTCGAGTGACATTAGTGAAAGGCTCTAATTCAGACGAAATAATCCTGACTTGACTTGAAAAGAAGAATCATAACTCACTTGTCAAGTTCCTTTCATCAGCAAAACCCTTTGAAGATTAGTGGAACACGAGTTGTGTTTTTTTTATTGCTTTGGCAAGGAGTATCCGTCTAGTATGGTGAGTAATGGCTGTGTCCTTGTTTGTTTAATAGTCTCAATACTCAGAAATGAGCTCAGCTGAGATCACATCCTACCAATGATCTACGGTTCTCTTTCGGTCATCTTAAAAAAGTCACAAGATGCAAGAGTATACCCCCCAGTTTAACTGAGAGTACACCTTCGCTTACCTGTCAGATGTACTCCTGCTATTTGTATACTCATGTTATGACAAGTAAATTATTCAAACGCAGCCAATACCACGTGCATGTTGTTGATTCCCGGGCTTAAATCCAATTAATATAATGTATAATGCAGGTTCTAAAATAAATCTTTAAACAACAGATTTAAATTCAAGGTTTATTGATGGAAGAATAGCCAGTTAATGTCTGGTTTTCTTCGCTGAAAAAGGTGATGGGGGCAGGGTTTTTTGGCTAATTATTTCTGGTGCCCATGAAATATGTAGGGAGGCACAACTCTTGAGTTTAGGCATCAGTACTTTCATTCTTTTCCCACAAGTTTTTCTGTTCAGCTGTTCAACTGCCTTGGTGAAAATTGTGGCACGTGTCCAGATGTCAACCGGTTCACATACAAAGGTCCATAACATATACAGGTATCACCCAGTGATGTAGTCGAGTACCAAACTTGAGTACCAAATTGTCCAAGTGCACAGTGCCGAGTACGGGCAAAGTCTGAGTATTTTTAATTAAGTCCTGAGCCAAAAATCCAAGTTTGAGTTTTTCAGTCAGAGAACGGGCCGAGTATGAGTGTAAAGATAATCGAGTGAATCTGAGTGAATCTGAGTACATTGAAAACCACAACATTATGGAAATTTGCATCGTTACAGGTGATATTCCAAGAAACTAACATGTATACATTTTAAAAAGTGGTATTTTTGCTTTGAATTCCAGACTTCTCAGAAATCTGCAGCCCATATGACATGCATACTGTGCTGTGCTGTTTCTGTCCGTGTGTGAAATATCCCTTGTGATCCTTAAAGCCCCAAGATATTAATTCTGATGAGAAGACATGTTAACCGTAGTCGAGAGTCTGAATCAAACACCCCGCCACCTGCATTTGAGGCACTTTCAACAAAGAGAGATTTATCCAACCTCGTTCCCATGGATATGATCTTGCCGTGCCAAGGAACACACACCCAGCCCATGGAGAGGAGGGTGCGATTTCCCTTTCCATCCTTGCACCCTGGACTGATTTCACTGATGTTCTTTCAGTAGTGAATAGAATAGTGTGGTGGTTTCTGTGGTCAGTGAACCCTTGGCTCCCCAGGCCACTCAGCCAGGTCGCTGCGCTGCTCGCGCGTAATTTGGCAAGGGCCTGGATCCATTTGGCTGGAAATATACCATCCATTACACCAAGGACAAGGGACGCTGAAAGGAATGGTATACCTGGGAAAGATAATTGTGGTTCTACCTACTTCTGGCCAGTTTATTCCCTCCACTCACTTCCTCCACGCGTGAGGTACCCTAATGAACACTACTGCAAAACATTTACAACTGGCAAAGAGGGTGCATGAGGATCCATTGCGCACCCCTTCGCCCTGCCGAGCTACGCACAAACTTACAAGGTACAGCATGGGTACGATAAAAATACTACATGACTTGTAACATGTAGCTTACACTATGTGAACTTTTTGGTAAAAGTTTTGTATCAAATTAGTAATATCGAAAAAAATCCTAATTTCTTTTCCAGTACCGCATGACTGGGATTGAATTTACCGAGTACAATTTGTTGAGTTTAGGCACGAGTTCAAGTAAAAAATTACAAGTACATGCCGAGTACCTGTTTTTTAGTACTTACAATCGAGTACAAGTACAGGCTAAGTACTTATTGGTACTCAAGTTGTACTCAAGTTCGAGTATGAGTACTCCAACACTGACGTCACCCATGGCTATCTGTAATTTTTGCCAATATTTTCAATACAAAGGAGTTGCTGGTTGGTATTTGTAACCTTATCTCTCTTGTAAGTGTGCTTTTGCTGCCTGGCAATCTGGTTTACCCAAACCAAGGAGGTCTTTAACCCCCTTAGTTCTTTTGTGTATGGTGTGGGTTCCCAAACTCAATGCTAATTGCTCAATAAGGTATTTCCGGATTGTTGTGGGTTGGGAGCATCCACTAAGTAGCAGTGTAGGATCATCTTCTGTGCTTTGACCCAACCAAGCATGACGTGTTCTAACGTCAAAAACAGGAATGAAAAAAGAATTCTTGAATGAGTGTACACATCCTCTGTGGAACCAATAAGGAAAATTGTGTGTGTTTACATATCAGCTGGTAACAAGTGGTTAAATGAACTTGGGAAAGTTCATCAGTGGATCAGGTTAAAATGGCCTCACACATTTTCGTTCTTTTCAATGGCAAATCATGGAACTTTCACACAGAGTTGATGGGGCATGGTTGCATTTGTGCGGGTCGAGAGACAAACATGCAAGTCACTGGACTGAATGGACAAACAAACCTGCCACGCCCTCCTTGTTGACTTCTGAATCATCGAGCAGAGCCACGAGATGTACAATGGTGGTGCAGACACAGGACGGGAAGAATACTCCAAATGTGGGTGGGCTGTGATGGGTGCGCTCTGTCACCATACCCTCGTCATCACCTAATTAGTATTCGGAGAGGTCAAAGGTCATGCGTGAAAGCTAACATGGCTGACAGTCGGAAGTCTGAGGAAAGCAACGATTTCCAATGCAAGCTCATAAGACTGGTCTTGGTTGTTTATCGTTTTCGTTGTTTGTTACAGGAATGTCTTTTTAAAAGTTTCCTTGTACTAGAGTTAATGTCAAAACAGACGGGAAACGGAACAGTACATCCACAATATTTCTTTCCATTCAAATTCTTACATTGGTTGACCGTTCAACATGTCACATGACGAACAGTGACAACTGAACATTGACGACGCGCTCAAACACAGGACTTTGAATTTTTCACCAAAAATTCAAGGAACGTCACAAAAAATCTGAACGGAGATAGGTCAAGAACAAACTGCAAAAAAAGGAAGCACTTTGTGAATGTGAATGCACACGTGAGGGGATACTCTTCAAGCCAATCTCAACTCTGTGATTGAAACAAACATTCCAATGACCACGTGTTTTTAGCACAGATGCATTAACAATCACAGTGCAAAAACGACAAATGGGAATGGAATTTTCAACTTCTACTTTCGGGGCATTTATCTGTTAGAAGCATTACTTTTTTAAATTATAAAACCACAGTTTTGTGGAGTTATGTGCAAACATACCTCTGCATCGTTAGTTTTGCCAACATTTCTTAAGCTAAGAAAAATGCTTAGGAAATAACATTTGCAGGTTAAAATGTGCCACTTACCATTAGCCCAGAATTCTGCAGATGAAATTAGCATAATATTTTAAAAATTACAACTCAAACTGGGCTGAACCAGTCTAATTGCATCAACAGGATTGCACCCCGGCAAAAAAAATATCTCAAGGCTGCATCTGAAACCCGTAAGAAGTGTTGCCATGACAACATTACTCATCTGCAGAATTCCTTCGGAATTAGGTTAACAAAGCTTTGGGGAAAGCGCAGAGTATGGTTTTAGACAAGGTGACAGAGGATGGACAGAAAAATTGACATGGTGATAGGAAGGATGAAGTAAGCATTATGGAAATCCTCTGGATGAAAGAAACTGTAAAACAGACATGAAACTAACTGTGGGATGTCATGCTTTCAGTTCTGAGATTCAAGGATCCTGTGGAAAGCCTACATAATGGATCCTATCACTCTATATATGTGAATGGATAACATTCCAAGAAGAAGATAAAACAAAATCAGGACCGTGTTTTATTACCCACTGCCATACTGCAATGACAATTGGACAATTTCTTGTGCTATTTCCTCGTGGAAAACTCACAAGAATGAATGAAGCAGCTGTGAGAAAACTAGGGGAAATTAGGTGATGAAATATGCCCAGATCTCATAGTATGAGTAAAATTCTCAGAGTTGTTACCCCAATGCAATGAAAACTGTTGTGAAAACTGGATATTAAATTTGGAACAGCTTTTGTCCTCTGTGGATAGTGGATATCTTTTTCAGGATTATCTAAGGATCTGGGCATACTCCAGTGAAAATAATATGAGTGTGTCATATGAGCCTGATGTCAGGGTAAGACCTGGTGAATGTTGTAAGTACACCATAGCATGCAATGTTATTGTGTGTATGAAGTCATTCAGAGATGTTAACATGGGGTTACACACATGTCATTACTAGAGCACTAACTTGCTGTGCAAAGGGATGCTGCTGGGTGCGTCCATATTTGTGCACAAACCAATGAAAACCTTGAAATTTTGTACACCTGTGGAACAGCTGTTTGCATATCTGCATCGGACACTGATGCATTAACAAAGCCGATATGCCAGAAACCTAAACGCACAATCAATAAATTAACGTTTAGTTTTGCTTGGTGCAAACAAATGAATGCAAAGCACTGCAGAAACTAAATTAAATGACTGGAAAGGGGCAAATGGTGTACTTGTGTGTTGCTTTATGACATTAGACTACATTATTTGAAAGTTTCTCTAATATTGTTATACTCCACAAATACACCCATGAATTCAAGATGTCTGTGCCAAGAAGGTGGCGAAGCTTTTCTACGCGGCAAATTACAAGTTAGCACTATGGCTGTAGCTGTTAGTGTGAATGCAATTGTGAACATCCTTCTCTCCCAAAACTGTGACAAGAGGAAGATGTGGTAGACTTTTCACCCTTCCTCATTGCTGGGCGCGCCTGAGAATCCCACGAGGGATACAATCATTTGCGCCTGATGCATGCCAAAGTGCAACATGGCAGCAAGAAATAATGGGCAGAATTAGGAAGCTGTCAGTTTGCAGCTACATGTGTGTCCATTTCTCACAGGCATGTTTGCTATTTCTCACTTGCAACTAAGGCATTTTGATGCAGCCCAGTTTCAGCCTAAATACACACAAGCCTTGGCTACAGAGGGTTTGCATGGCTTCCATCTTATAGGTCTGTGCTTTTATTCCACAGGATATGCACCATGGAGGTTTCTTTGTGAAAAAGAATAATTACTTCGCTAGATAGTGACCACACAAACCCAGTGTAATATGTTTATACTGGCACTGGGTACATGTCCCCAACACAGTTCAACAACATGTTCAGTTACTTTCCTCACACTTATCCATGGTGTTGTGACAGGTTTAGACAAGCATGTGCAATATGTAGTGTTAAACAGATCCTCTGCATTACTCAAAGTACCCTGATGACCAGGTCAACAAGTCGCACTGATTAAATTTGCAAAATAAATCCAGACAGTCAAAGGCAACAGATATCCAAACACACGTTTTTTTTCTTTATGGTCTCTCTTTTGTAGAATTTGGTGGACTTGAGTTGATAACTGACATTATATTCAACAATTTTTTTCAGAATTATTTACAGAAATGAATCAAAACCCTGTGGCAATGTTACCCTCAGATGGAAAATGGATAACTAGAGGGGGTGTGTACCTGGTGTCCCCCCCCCCATTTTCTAAAGGAGACACCTATTCCCCTCTCCCCACTGTTTTTCTTCTGATATTTAAGGTTTAAAGACGTAAGTATAATTAAACCATGCCTGCTCCAATGTTCAGGTACACCTTTATGGGTGAATCCCACCCCTCCCTCATTAAGCAATGCTCAGCATGCTCCTCTTGTAAATGGCGTATCCCCCACTGAAAACAAAAAATGAAAGCTGGGTTCTAGGAGTCCTATCATAGAGACGTATCACTTGCAGAGAACAGTGGTTTGTTTTGTTTAACTGTTACTGGCCATTCCTAAAAAAACTGGTATCGGCAAAAATGCATACGGCATTATCTACATCATTCCAATGTAGAGGTACTTCTCTGCAGGAGGCACCGAGGGCTCAGATATTTTTTTCAAAGGGCATTGACAGTAATGAGGCACAGGTCAGGTGAAGTTCTTGTTCGTCTCAAGATATTGCAGGACATCCAGTGGGAAGGTACATTTTCCCTGTTACATCTAACCTTTATTATTTGACATGGAGATATCACCGTAATTTATTTCAAACTATTAATGTTTGTTTGGCAGTTAATTTGAATTAATTCATCTTTCTTGGAAAATAACCACTCCCTGCCTGGGATTCTGGATCCGGACATGTATGCTTTATATGTGTGGCCGGGGTCTCCAAAATCGGACAAAGGGAACAGGGCCTTGTAACAAAAGACCATACTTGGAACAAAAGACAAGGCTGCTGGGCATTACCAACATTTTTTACTATCAAAAGTGGAGACAATCCAGCCTTGTTTTGAAACAGTATACCACGGTTTGGGGCATTTAGAGCGAACGGATTATCACCCGAGATGAGCCACACAGCACCGCTGCATGCTAATCTGGCCCTTACTGAAAAGAGGTCAGCAGTGCACTGAGCCAGGTTCGTGAACAAAAGAAAGTTACATAGCAGTGCACAATCTGGGCTCTTTTTACAAGCCTGCAGGCCGGGCTGAAATACTCGGGCATCAATAGATTTTGTCTGTCAGGCTAGAGTGGACACCAGACAGTCCATCACGTGTTCGTAATTGTCCAGTAAATGAAGATAGGAATTTTTAAAGAATTTGAAAACAGAAAAACTTGAAATGCTAAATATCCTGGCCCAGCATCATCGACATTGATAACTGCCCCGACAGGAAGTGGTTAAAAATGTGTTCTGAACTTACAAAATCACATGTCAGATGTGACAGGAACATGAAAAAAAATGAACCCCTAATTCCTAGAATTACCCATACACATTGGTTGTGCAGACTGGGCACCCCTGTGAACAGCAATGTTACAACCACAGAATCTTGAATCCAGCAGGACAGCTGGAAGAAATCCAAGACTGATAAATTTAATTAATAGGTGTTTGGAAGCTGTGACTCATCTCTTCATCGTGGTGACTGGGCAAGGGTACTCTATTAGCTGAAATAAAAGCTGGTGGCTGGTTCCAATAGAAATTCATCCCAAAACCCACCGACACAACTTCTAACATTACAATGAATGAAGCTCATGCACCGACTCTGGCTCTTGTGACATGCATTAGACGTGAATTGGTGTTAGATTGATGAGTGAGGTGTGCTAATTGAGGCTTTTGTTGCTACTACTTTGAAGTTTGCTTTCATACTTAGGAAGCAAGTGCCCAGATCTATGGCTTTTGTCATGGTCTGGGAATAATACGTCAGGTAATGTGCTGGTTCTTTTCATACCAACTCAAATGCGGACGCAGGAGTAGTACTTTAAAGTGATGCTGCAAAAAGAAATCATTTTTAGACAGGATGAATCTGGTTTTTGATGAGGTTGATGAGAGACTGGTGGAAAACCCAGATGATTCTGGCAGCTAGAGAAAAAGGGAAGAAGATTATGGAGAGTTTCCTAAACATGAAGTGGCAATTCAAAATGACAGACAACACAAAAAGGCATCAAATGAAGAAACATAATACTTGAGGCCAGGAGTAAATCTGAAATACGGCAGTTACTAGGAAGGAAGATTAGGGTATGGGAGGAACGATGGGAGGGGCGGTGGGGATAGAGGTTGGTGGATCCAGGCAGGCGATTAATGAGGTGAGGTGGGAGTGTGGAAACAGAAAAGACCAACCAATGGGATACCTGATGCGTTGCCAGTTGACGCTCCGCCGGACCACAGAGATGCACGACGAATGGACAAATTCCGGCCCCGGTTCAGGCCGGCCGCGGCCGCCATGGTGGCCGGCGGGGCAATGGACACCCGTCGTGCTGTCATGGACACGGTGACGGGCATGGGCGTGTCGTCTGAACAGGGACGGATAAAAAACGGAAGCAGACGCGAATGGGCAGCCGGCAGGACGGGTTGGGGAGAAAAAATACATGGGGATGTGGTGTGAATATGAAACAGCATGTTAGTGTGGTTGTACTGAGAGAAAAAGAAAAAAAACAAGCCAATGACCAAACAAAAAATGCAATGTTAAACAACGTTAAATGCCTGTTCATTATAAAAACAGGAAAGGGCAAGTTTTTCAGTTCTTGTCAGTTTTAATACAGGATTGGCTGAGTGAGTTTGTTGTTTTAATGCCTGCATTCATGCACTGCCTGTACCCAGACAGAGCGGGCGAAAGACAATTTATGAAGTCGCCCATCCTGTCCAGCTGTGAGATGAATCAATTAGGCCAGTGTGCAGGGTTAGTGATGGGATGGCACAATGCATAAACAAATGCAAAGTCATGCCTTGGCAAGCACTGAATATAAAACCTGGCGTTCTCATTCTAAACAGGCCCAGACCCATAGGGGCTCCGGACAGAACAGACACTACCGAGTTCCAGAACCCATGATACAATTCATTCATTTGTGGCATTAACTATGTATGCCAGTGGTTCCTAAAACAGGTGACAAATGCAGGGAAAGGGGACAAGACTCGGGCCTGACAAGACTCTGTGTATGCTACAGCATGGCACTTTCCAATTCTCGGATCTCGTGAAATGTGAATGATGCTGTGGTTTGAAATGATCAAGTGATGACTATCACATGACAAAATGTATCATCACATGGAATGTCAAATGCAGTGAGCCTGTGGACACCTGGATGGCATTTTGTTGTTTCATTTTACACATACATTTCCAGAATTTCTCCCCCCCCCAAAAAGGTTCTGTCCATAAGTTCTAATAAAAGCTGTGCTGCAAGGTCTGCACACACACATTTTTGGTACTCAACAAATACTGTTGAATAAATGAATAAATGAATAGATGGCTCCACATTCCTCAGCAAACATCTGTCCAAAGTTCTTCCAAAGCAATCCACAAACTCATTGCTTCTTGGGAACAATGAAATACATATAAAATAATGTACATGAGTGTATCAGACACTAGAGAAATGTTGAGAACATGTTTTATAAAAATGCTTCCCTGACCATAATAAAAAACAACTTATATTTAACACATACCCGACAAAACCCCAATCACACTAAATATTCTACGAATAAAACATACAATAAACGGAAAAGACATAATGCACAACAAGAATTTACTCAAAACAGTGTCATAACGTATCCTGCTCACAAAGAATAAAAGAAACAAACAAATCATAAAATATTCAGCAGTTTAATTGACAAACACAAAAATTGTCTCAAGTCAGCAGTCATTATTATTGTCAATGTTTAAAGTGACTGTAGCAACAATTACATAGTCTTTGCATTGAAAATACACAAATTAAACAAATGAAAATAATGCAAAATATTGGGTATAAAAATATATCAGAAAAGAGTCACTCCAATACTCTGAATGTGCTCCAAAGTTCAAATATTTGGTTATGTCACAGTACTTCTCATACCTACCTTCTTCAAAATGTGATTTTACCACACGTTTATACCATACATGCGCAGCTTAAATGCATGATCATTTATATAATTGTGAAACTGAATTTTAATTCTTCTGAATTTTGAATTTTTTATAAACATGGGATATGCATTTCTGGCACGTGGCCAATTTCAGAAATGTTTCAATTAAAACCTCGAACAAAGTTTCAATTTTTTTTAAGTCAAGTCAGAAAAGGCTCAAGGAGTCTTTTCTTTCGTTTGTTCTAAGTGAAGCCCAGGCATAGTCAAGTCTGATACCTTACAAAAACTGGAAAACAAGGAAAATTTCAGGTTTTCTAGTCAGAGAAGTTTCCATCCAGTTTACCAGAGATAGGCCTATTATGATAAGTCAAATCTAACACTATGGGCACAAACCAAAGTGAAGTGCCAACAAGTATGCGGTCACATGTTGCACATTAATTAAATCAGAAAAGTTGCACATCAAGTGCCAAAAATAGGTATCATGTCTGAGATGTCAAGTCATACTTTAAGGGAGTCACATACCAGTAAAGTATACGTCGGAGCCATGTCAGAAGAAATATGTAAGCAGAATTTTATTTCAGGGAGTTTCCAGTCAAGCGTCACTATAGTGAACTTGCAAATGTCAAGTTCTGAAATGCATGTAAGGACTTCATCCAAGACAGATCTTTGCAAGTTTCATTTCAAGTGATCTTCATTGTATTAAAGTAAAATTTCTAAATCTTTAAGTCAGGGATGAGATGAGCCAGAAAGAAGTTTCAAAATTGGGAAGGTTTCTAATCAATGTGTTCAATCAACTGATACCACGATGGGCAATTACCCAAGTAAGTTTGTTTGTGACCTTGGACAAAAATGCTAAATTGCAGATTTTCTGTGTCAGGCAAGAATCTAATTATACAGTTATCAGTTTCAAGTCCTAAGTTGAGGCAGCAACATAACACAATTCAGAAAAAAATAAAAACTTGGGACAACCAATGCAGTTTAAGCTTACTGAGCAAAAGACACACAATGCACTTTGTTATTGCTTCCCCACACTGCAGCTCTCTCTGCATGTACATCATTTCAGCCATCACACACCTGCGTAGTGTGCAATCCATCATGCACAAGACTGTGAGGGGAAAAAAATTCCCCTCCATCCCACCAGAACCACTTGAACCACATTTCACTGGTCACTAAGTCTTTCAGACAGCTAAGATCAAAGTGCCTTTGAAAACGATCTTGGAGAAACTGCAACCAGTTCGCAATCGTGCAAGTACAGTAGTAAGAGGGAGTACACACGGCCTGCTGTATATTCTTTCTTCAGCCTACAAGCCCTTATGACAAGGAGACAAGGCTAAAAGTGCACGGTGAAAGGGGGCAAGTTGCATTCCCGAACAATTCATATCAGACTGATCCAATGTCTGAGACACTTCATACAACATACATGCGACAGTGTAGAGCTCAAGGTGTCATGTGTATATGTCTCATCAGCACCCTTTGGAACTAAGGTACATTGAGGGTCCTGAAAGGGTATAACAACTTTGGCACAGCCAAACTTTTTTGCTGTTTAGAACCAAACTTCATAGTCCTTGGAAAATTAGCCAGTTCCAAAGTTTTAAAGCTAAGATTCGTAATTTTCAAAAATGCTTCGACAGTTTTCCCAAATTCCATTATTAGAAGGTCTTTGACAATAATTTCTGACAAATCCTCTAGAAACCTTCAAACCATTTTGTAACTAAGTAGAAAAATTTGCACTTGCAGCAAACAAGATATTCTATCAGTGGGTAAATATGCCTAGACAGACATCCTAGGGAAAAACGAGAACCCAGGGCAAGAACCATTCAAGTAGCCATTATAAAATGGCTAGACCTAAGCTGGACATTGACACCTTGAGCAATAGCCACTTGACTAGTTCTGCACTGACAACATATTTGGTCTTACCTTCGTCATCCGAGGTGACGTGATGAGATGGCTCGTAGGCAGCCTGGGTCAGGATGGGCACGTTGGTCATGTGGAAGGTCTCCCGAGCAGCCCGCTTCTTCTCCTGCTCGCGAAGCAGGGTTTTCTTGATGTGCTCTCGGCGCTGGGTGGTACGCGACACTGCTACAGCAGCAAAGGAGCGCTGCGGATGGAACAGAGAAATCATAAGACACAGAACACATGCAGACCTATCCAAGGAGATATCACTGCGGTGGCAGGCCACACTCATGCGAGCATTCTCAAACTTGAGAGTGCAGTACATGCACTTTGGAAAGTCACAACAGCCTCAGAAGAATGTGATGTCATAGCATTAACTGCTTCTAATGTTAGTCAATAAAGTGATTAAATTGATTCGTAACACGGTACAAAATAAGAAAAATGATTGAATAATGAGGGGTAAAAGTTACACAAACCACTGAGTACAACAATAATCCCTGTCCACCATGAATCAAACCACACAAGGTTGTATGAATAAGGTGACCAAGATTGCTTCTGTTACAGGTTACCGTTACAGATTAGCTCATGACTTGACAAGAGACTGAGTGATTTGTGATTGGCATGTGATGGACTTGGCAACAGCACCTATACATTTATGTAACGTAACTTCTACTTTTAGACTTAGGTTGTGCCACTACATTAAACAACTTGACGAAGACCCACTTTTCTATTAAAGCAAGCATACCACATGAAAGTACATGGCCGGACTTCGAAAGGGTATGATATCCTACCTAACCACCACAATAATTACCCAGGAAGATATTCTGACCTTGAAGGGAAGAGTGTAATGAACTGAAAAACCCTCCCCAGGACAGAATTCGATCTCTCTCTTGCAGTGTGCTTGTGCCATTGAGCTAAAAAACTAAACACAATGCTGGAGTGCTAACTTGCCAAATTCAGTCAGTGGTGGATCAAGCAAGTGCCTCAACAAATACAAGCGGGGGGTGCTAAATGGGGATGAACCCAAATATACAAGCAGGGCACTTTTAGTAATAATTTCCATCTTTAAAGTTGACAACCAATGAACACAAAATGCCAAACCCCATATAAAATCTAAACTAGGGAGGGTTGCATATGATGGGAAATGTCCATGTCTACACACAAAGTTATAGAAATGAATATATGAAAAGCAGCTTTGCTGTTATATCTGTCAGATTGCTTTTTCACCTTTCTTTATGTGAGATTTTGGACACACATAGGGTGATAGAGAGAATCCCAATGCTTGTTGGTTTTCTTGATGGGTTTTCCAAAATCACATCACATATATAAAAATTGTTTAGTCATTTAGTATTCCAGTGCAAAAACATTGTGCATCTCAGAATTTTTAGCCAAAATTTAATGGCAAGAGATAAAAAAGGCACTACAGCCATGCTGAGGAGGGCTGAATCAAATGGCACAAAAATTGGGCACCCAAACAGCATCCAGCACATTTGTGGATATGCTGCGCAAAATACAAAATATAGCCACTCTCAAAACTAAACTCTTGTAGAACCATCAAACAAGTTCCATTTCCAAAAAGGAGGTGAGATCCAAATATACAAGGTGGTAGACTTTTTCTTATCTACAAAGTTTTACTAATAATCAGTTGAAATTACATCAAAACAAAAATGTTTGCCCTGGTTAAAAAAAAATACAAAAAAAGGGAGGGGTGGGCACATAATGGCTGCAAACCCCTCTAGATCTGTGACAGAAACAACCAAATTGTCTCAGCAGACACATTTTCTGGAGTCAAGTTTGTCACCGGAAGAGTTGTCTGCCATTCAGAGATAACACACTTTTCTGAATAATGCATATAATCCATTCAATCAGAGTCAAGCTCGGCAAAGATTAACAGGCACGCTGACGCATACTAGAGCATGGATTTTGATTTCAGTTCATTATATCTGCACGCATGCATAGGCATCACACACAGATTGAAACTGACTTGAGTCTTTCCATGTTCATGATGCCAAATTGTTAAATGTTTTGGAAACACTCTTGAGGAAAAAAACCAGACTGAATCAAAACAGTGAAGTGCAGGTTAGTGTGCCGATACGGCAGAAATAACATTCTCAAGTTAATGGCTTGTAGGAAAATGAATAAAGTAGGTAAATTATGCAAGAACTGCACACTCCCTTGGATAAACAATCAACTATCAACTGCAAAGTCACAAAACCTTTGAAGAGATGCAGCTTTTCTTTTTCATTTACATGTATATTTAACTACAATCATTTCAAAATGAAATGATTTTTTATTGTTTACACACACAATACATCCAATCTGTTTGTCACATTTCAATTCAAACAGTGTCTTGTAATGTTTATTGTGCAACTTAAAGTTTCAAATGCCTAAATAAAATGTCAAAGAATACCGATAGGCATTGGTAAAGAGTATGGGTAACTATTCCAACAGCCTAGTAACATATGTTTGCAAACGGTTTGAAATTGTTGGGCCTAGTTAAAACATAGTTTGTATCTGTTTCCACTTCCTGGTTTGTTTGTTTTTTTTGGCGATTTTGTTTTGTTTCAAAGAGCAAATGCAGCAGACGCAAGTTAAAATCACTTCAGTGGCATTAATTACAACGATCAACAAAAGTCTAGAAGACTGATCCACCATTTAGGACAAATCCACAATATAATGCAGTAAAAACATAAATTAACCCCTCCATTTTTTCAAAAGCTTTGATAAGAAACTAATTTTTAACTAGGCAAAACTGTACAAATCCGAAAAATATTATATTCTAAAGAGATTTTATCAATGATTACAATGGAATACTTCACCGTTTTCGTCTATTTGTTATCTTCTCAATAGGCAAATGGAAGATCCCTACCAACACAAAACAACCCTGATGACTTTATACCCTTGACGACAGGAATTTCTTCCCCCGAAAGCTGACTCCAAGAATTCCAGCCTCGCTTGGTCACGAAGGCCACTTGCCAAACCGCAAATTCTCGGTTTGTGGCCCTGCGTACTCTGCATGCTTTGAATTACACAGTGAAAAGGCTGATTGTTTGGTGGCATGTGGCTCTACTCAGGCTTCCACATTCCCATTGCCTCTTTTCAAAGTGGAGACTATTGTGAAGCTGGTGATTATAATGCAAATTCGGTCTTTTCATTTCTGGGCTACACACAAAGGCCAATAACCATATATACAAGAGCCAGGGTCTGCCTTCTTTTGGCGCGAAGGGGTTAATTATGTGCTCCAAGCCCACACTATGTCATTCATCATTTTTAAGTTTATCCATTTACTTATTTCATGATGGAACACACTCTCAAGATATACAAAACTAGTACTGGGTATCCAACACTAGTTGTTGCTGAATTCAAATTTGACTACTTAAACACCCCAAGTGAGTTGAACAACAGAGAATCAGGTATAAGGAGAAGAATTGCATAGACTATCCACCTTGAGCAAACCTTCAGTTTAAAAGAGTCATGTCGAAGAGTGTTCAGTGTGTTGGTAGTGATGCAACTGCAATGCATGCATTTCATAGTTGTTCATGAAGCAAATAAGTGCAATTCCTACCAAAGGAGCCTCTGTTGCTGGGAAACTTAGGCTTTTCCTTGGTCTTGTTAGGTGGCTAGAGTCTACTGATCCAGCCATTAGAAGCCATTACAGTCACGGCACCATGCTTTAACACAGATGGTAAGCGAACTTCACATGCGTCTTCAACCCACCAGGTGTCATGATTTGTCTAAATGTGCACCAGCCTTTAGTCTAACAGTAGAGGCACGTGCACATTTAGACAAAGTTAGCAACATCTCTGACAGGATTAGACTTCAGTCCATTATACTCATAGGGCTAACAAAAACCAAGTGTGGACCCAAAGCTGGAGACTGTAAAGTAAATGATACTGAGTTTATCAGAAGGGATGAACCACCACATACAGAAAGATTATGTGAAGACCAGTGTTAATAAACCCCATGGCTATTAAACACCCCAATGAGTCACACAACAAACATGTAGAAATACAGCAGTTATATGTACTTGTATTATGGCCATCCTTGACATTGTGACTTGTGATTATGGGCAATGCCAGTTTTTTTCCCAGGAGGGGTAACACTTTTTTTCTTGGGGAGGGGAGGAGGCAAAACACTCATCAGCAACAAACCGATAAACCATGCGCAATTTTGAGGTTGTCCAAGCAAATGGATAATTATCACCTTCTTTCATCATTTTTTTCCTTTTTCAATTTTTTTTGGGGGAAGAAGCACTTCCCCTCTCCTTGCCCCATTGCTCATGATCGCTTTGAAACTGAAATAATTATAAGCTGATTTGCTTTTTTCATAGTTATGTTAATGATGCAAACAGGCTTCTTCCCAACTACAGCCTCTGTGGCAACTTACTTCTAGTATCCCTCAAGGACACTTGACAACCCCATGGCCTGGCGATGGCACAGTGGCTCAATTTTATGACTTAGCCAACCACAAAATTCTGGGCTTACCGACAACATTCTATGCTTAGCACTTGTACAAAAATTCTTTGATGAAGAATTCTTAGTTACAGGATTTGCACATGCATATCATCCATAATTCTCTGCCAATCTATGAAATATGCAGAATTCCATGCAATGCTTGGCAAAGATTTTCCGCTTCCCGGTACACAAAGCCATAATATTGGACCCAGATCACTGTCTTTTATGGGATAGATTGCAGTGTCACTGGTGCAGTACTAAAGGGACCACATCCCCCAGGGAAGATAGCAACTGGATCTAAATTGGCACTGTGGGACTTTTTTTGGGACTCCTTGTGATTCAAAGAGCCACGTCCCTTGAATAGACTCCAATGGGAATAACTGCTCTTCAGTCTACTAGTGACCCATACTTTACTAGCTACAGTGAGGTCACTAAGATAAACAACTGCCTCCTTGACATAATCCGCTCCGAGCGCAACAAGAGAGGGCGTTTTTTTGGGTACTCACCGCATATAGGCGCGAGTTAATGGCGCGTTTGACACGGGGTACGCTGAGTATGCGTAATGAATTTGTTCCTTAATTAATTTAATGTATGGTCTCTGCGTACACGCAGAACGCGTGCAAGAAAACTTGCTTGGAAAACTTACAACTATCTGCCTTTCTTTTGCCGCTTGGGGGTGCACTTCATGCTCGGGGCGGATTGTAGTGAAGTAAATTAAGGCTGTGCTAATTATTTGATATCTTCAGATATCTAGTCAAATATTGAAATATTTATTTTCAAAACTACGTATTTTGGGGGTGAAAATCAATGATATGAAAAAGGGGAAAAGTTCAATTATTTGTTTTAAAAAATGCATTCTATTAGCACATTTCAATGTATTGCAAGACCACAAAACTGAGGCCATAAATTACTTTTCCTTCAAGTTTTTCTGTTTCAACCATTAAAAACATACATATTTTATCTCTGCTTTTGTAGGAGTAGCAATTGGTACAACCAACTATTGGAATATTCCTCAGAATGGAAGGTCACGTATTGGAGTATTTAATTGCTTGAATTGACCCAGCCTTGTCCCTAAAAGAGCTGGGTTATTTTGGACCATCATACAGCGGGGGGCCCCAAGAACTTCGCTGTGCCTCACTTCATCTTTTAGAAACTTTGCATGCATGTAAAGACACTCCTTGAATTAAAAATATTATGGTCATTTGAAGTTCAAGGCTACATGTGTGCCAGCCCACGTGCACTGACCACCCCTTACCCCATCCCCACCCTCTAAGCTTTCTTCAAATTTTGTTCTGTGGTTGCAGTTGGCACATGACCAAAGACAGACTTCTCAACTTACTCCATCATGAGCAGCATGCCATGTATAAAGTTTTACAGCATTTCTGCAGAGTTGACCGAGCCCATAAAGTGTTCAGGTACAGGCACAGTGGGTGATGAGTATACAAGAATAGGCTGCCCCTCCCAAGACATGCTGGCACTAAATGAAGGCATGATTCAGACAAAGTTGTGGAAATGGCCGGGGGACACTGAGTTTAAAGATGGGATCCAGAAACATGGAATAATTGGTCACCATGGGAGGAAAGTAAAGGGAAAAGTGAAGGTATCTGTTGGGCAGTTTTGTAACCGTGTCCTTTTCCAAGTCTGACAAGCACATGTGTACTGAAAAATTACCTGTACAGTGGAAGTTTCATGTGCAAAACTGGACAGTGCAGGTTGGAATACTGAAACTTAGATATCTGGGTAGAAAGCCAAATACCTTGATCACAACACACGGTACGAGTGTAAAAAAAGGAGAGTACTGTACAAGATAGTGTCTGCTCATTGCAATCAGACTGGCCACATCCCCATGACAGCACACTGTTGTCTGAAGCTGAAGTGTCCACATTTAGTACGCAATCTTTTGCATATGAGCAGACACTGTCTTGTATAAGATGCTAACTGGCACGAAAGCAGTGCATTCAGACATCCTCCAAAGATTTGCAAAAGGAGTTGGAGACTGACTTGATGAGGATTCCATTCACAATCCCTGGCATAAATGCGAAGTTCTTGTATGTATGTGTCCAATCTGGGAATATTCATACCCTTTTTAATGAGTATAATCAACAGCCCTGGCCTCATTCCTACCACAGTATGTAGTACCTTGCATTTCAGTAAACCTTTGAGACTTGGAAAAGGACTCAACAACACCACTGCTGGTTAGATAATTGGATTGGTACAAATTGTGAGAGCCCAGTGTCAAGAATGACTGTTGATCGAATTCTCGAAAAATTTGATTAATTTCAAGCAAATGAGAAGCATGTATAACTAATATTTGTACAAGTCTTGTTGAATTGTTTACTTCTTTAATGTAGCACAGTTTTGTATTTGTTTTCTGAAGAAAAGTGTTTACATATCAAGAATTAAGCTCTGGATTTCAAATAGCAGAAAGTTTTCACTCAGACACAAAGTAGGTTGGTTTTAAAATCTTGATGCAAAGTGAACATAGCATCAGCAAATATAAATTTGCAGAAAAATTTGCCAGGATTAAAATGTGTGAAACTTTTGCAGCTGTGCGACATGATTCATTGCTATTTCCTCACCACTTTTAACATTTTTTTGTTAGTTTTTGACATTCACATGACTTCACACATGAGCTATTTCTTGGCCACGCAGAGATTTTAAAATTCAATTTCTCACATCCATGCACTTTACATCCTACAAAAGCAGCCACTGACTTGGAAATATGCACTGTCTGCAAAATTTTGGTAATTTGTCCTTTTTTTTCTTGACAAGGGGCTTAATGTTGTACAATGAAGACCAAGGGTGTGAAATTAAAGTGTAGTCATGAACATCACAAGTCAAGTCAAAAACCAAATATCAAAAGTCTGGCTACAATTGAGCTCAAGATAAACAAATCAACTGAGACAGATAACACTGAATTTGAAGAGCTTGTGGTTTGAGGCTGCATGACTTCTGACTGACTTGTGATGGACTTGTCAGGGTTTGACTATAATGATGTGGTGCTAAGATTATAAGCAATCACTTACAGACAATAACTTCCAACACATTCCTGTATGGGAATTAAAGATTCCAGGCTGCAGTAGTGGAATATCACAAATGGTGAAGAAGTTCAGTTCACAAACACAATTGTTTATCTTAAACCACTATCACAATACCTTATACATATTCATGATCGAGAGCCGAACTCTCCCTGGTGCACAAAACAAACACCCAATAGGCATGTGCTCCATGCATAATAATTTTTGCTCAAACTAAACCTAAACTGCACAAGTTATATATCAACTTGTTTTTTAAATCAAAGGATTCAATATTTTATATTCAAGACAAGCCTACAGTTGGTACAGATGAAAAAATGTCACAGTGAATTTAAATTACTTAATTTTAACATTTGACAGAATGCCACATCAAGGTTTGTCTGTCCGGACAGCATTTAATCACATCTACAATTAGTGACACCAAAGTGCTTATGAGCATAAAAGGAAGACACTATGGTAAGACACAAGCCCACAACCTCCCAAGAGTGTCGCCGCTTCGCCCACAAACCTCCCCCATCATCTTGTGTCAGCAGGATATCAGATTGAGTGAAGTGGAAATCTCAAAACTGGGTGTGCATTGTGCACAAATCATTCCAACTAGTGCAGTGAGGTCAAAATCCTAACAGATGATAAGAGGGCATAATACATAACACACGTAGTTACCTACAAAGGCCAATAGAAGCCTGGAATTTCAGTTTATGTATTCATCTGAAGCAATTTCTGAGCAAATTCATGTAAGTACTGTAATTAATCCTTACAGCAAAATCAGGCACAAACTTAAGTTTGACCACTGGTCAATTGCTCTTTAATAATGCACATGCACAATACAGTCACACTTGAAAGACCCAAGTCAATTTATTTTGTGAAATCTCATTGTCATTTACATTTTCCTATTGGTTACAACTCCCCCAGTGTTCACTGTCAACGACATATTGTACAATTATTTTTAGGTAAATGGTTCCCTCCAAACTGAGAAATGAAATCAGCTACTCAGGCTTGGTTCTAAATGGTCATCTAGATGATCCAAACCATCCTTTGGGCTTTGTCAAACTATGGTTAACTATCGTCATCGTTTGAACTTGTTCATGGTGTGACTGACTGATCTAACCCATGCTTATCAAGAGCTGCTGGACTAATCTGGTCAACTATTTGCAGTGAGCCTATCAAGTTTGGTCAAATAATTGCTACTGACCAACAGCTCCACATATCAATATGTGCAAGGAACTAAGGACACAAGTTGCCATGGTAATGATTGATGAATATTTGATTAGAGACATTCACACTTTTGCATCACAATTCAATCTCTACTCTAGTAAACTAACGGTTCTTCTTCAGGCTTGCTCTGAATTCTTGGTCAGAAAACTTTTGGCAGTGTTCAGTGTAGGAATAAAAACTCCTTCGAGTCAAACAGGAAGCACAGTGATGAAAAGAAAAAAAGGATAAGTCTCAAGGAATGTTAGTTAAATCCAATTCATGCCTTAGTAAAGCTTTTGAAGTGAAAATTCTCAACCAAACTACTGAAACTGCTAAAAGTCTAGTTCAAAAATGGTTTCAAAAAGAGAGAAAGTGCTGTGTTAAGGTTGGTTCATACTCAACTGGAAAGCAAATGCAAACAGGAATTTGGGGTGTCACAACAATTGAGCAAATTCTAAATTCTTTTGTGAAAATTTTTCCACAAATGCTTCACAATGTGAAATATGCATGCTTGCAGGCTGTCACACCCTCATTTGCTTTCCGATTGGGTGGGAACCAGCCTTTTGTGTTGGAAGATGGGCAAAAGAGGTTAGGATGGACTAGGCTGAAACGGGCACCAGACCTGAGGCTGGGTGGCTGCTCTTTTGCACATTCCTGTCAGGAAGGCCCAAGCTGAGAGACCGGACTTGCTCTACGAAGCAACGAGGGCAAAACAGTCGGGGGAGCAAGTGATTGGTTAGTCTAAATGTCGATCTCTTTTCTTTTTTTTCCTTGAAAATAAATTCTAGCATTAAACAAGCTGGGAGCAGAGAGATGAAAACTACATGTACATGAACTTGTGATTACAATGAATGCATAGAGATCAGCCATTTCGATGTTAACCCTTTTAATCCTATGCATTTTTCAGGCACATTTTTGCTATACACTCATCTGAAGCATGTACTACCATGCACTGATGCGGATTATATCCCCTTTCAAACATCCAAACAAATGACAGCGCTGTCAGGTTTGAAACTTTTTACACGTTAAGTTTTCAGTTCAGACTTTTCTCTGATTCTTGTTACACTGAGGCAATCCTGATACAATCAATATTCTTTAGGAACTCAGGTCTAGAAAATTCTTAACAGCATTGAAGTACAGCTTCTAATAATGTCAGCGAGTTTCCTTGAATAACACTGATTTGATATGCATAACTAATGTAAATAGCGTGAAGTTTATGACAGTTTCTACACCTGAATCTTACTTTGAGAGTTTCAAATGATTAAACATTTAACACGATGCCTTTTGACGACATCATATGGTAACAATTTGAATGCCTTTCATAACAAATATCACTGAATCAAAATTGACTTCCTTAAACATGTCAGATGCATTTTTTCTAGTTTTCTTCAGGTTCGCATGGAATGACATGCATCACATTACCTTCTGACATTGTGAATGTTCAATGAACTGAACATAATAAGAGCAATTCACAACAGTGTGCCAATCACAGCCACAGTTTATAGTGCATTGTCTGCAACAGTTGATTGCACACAACAGATGGTGACCTCCTTTGCATGCAGACTGGGCAGTTTGCATTCACATTTGTAACAGACAAAGAGAGACTAAGCATCTAAATAAATATATGTGCCTGCATGATGTATGATGATACCCAAACAATGATGTACAGATATATTACTCATAATCTTTGCCAAAAGGTGGAGGAATGACTGACCGGAGGATGTACCAAATATCAATAATTGATAGGTTTTGTAAGTTGTTTCTTCACCATGTACATGTATCTGATTCTGTATTGCTCCTATCCACATTAAAAACAACAAAGCCTCAAAAGAAGCAAATGTTACACATTTCCATGCTTGCATGGAAACAGTCAGCTATCACGTACCTCATTTGCATACATGTAAAATAAGAAAAAAAGCTGTGACATGCAGACCAGTTACACCGAGGAAACTTTATTTTAGGGGCAAGTTTTCTAGTGACTCACCGTTTCCTCTTCTGTCGATACCTTCTCTTCCAGGTCAGAGGTCGTGACAGGCATCCAGGGCGGGTCAATGACAGCAATATTAGCCACTCCGATGGTGGGCGAGGGAACTGTGAAGTCAATGTTGGGTGGTGGAACCTGGAGAAGGTCGGAATAGTTAGATCTGTCCTGGCTGACATTCCTACTCTTTGAGATAGAAACGCACTCTATTTAAAAGCAACAGTAGGAACAATACAATTCTTTCCTTGTTGTTTTACACTCTGTTGAACTCTCTGTAAACTTTGCTTCCTTTAACCCCTTCGCGCCGGGAGGCAGCTAGACACGCCGTAAAAATTGAGATCCTCAGCCCACTTTTCAGCTATTATTTTTGGCCCACGCTCGAGCGAACACGGTGAAAGAAGGCAGACCCTGGCTCTTGTATATATGGTAATTGGTCTTTGTGTGTAGCCCAGAAATGAAAAGACCGAATTTGCATCATAATCACCAGCTTCACAATAGTCCCCACTTTGAAAAGAGGCAATGGGAATGTGGAAGCATGAGTAGAGCCGCATGCTGCCGAACAATCAGCCTTTTCACCGTGTAATTCAAAGCGTGCAGAGCACGCAGGGCCAGAAACCGAGAATTTGCGATTTGGCAGATGGCCTTCGTGGCCAAGTGAGGCTGAAATTCTTGGAGTAGGCTTTCGGGAAGAAATTCCCATTGTCAAGGGGTTAAGGAAGTTTTTTACTATGTAAAAACCTTAAGGAAGTTTTTTACGATGTAAAAACCTTCCTAAAAGAACGAACATATTCCTTTTTTCAAAGTGCCGTATGAGGGGCCACTTTCAGTCTGTAACTCCTCTAAATAAAGAATGCACACTGCAACAAGCAATTTTCAGACCATGAAGATTTCTCTTACCCTGAAGATCAAGGAAGCTTTATCCTCCATACGTGGCCAGACCTGATGTCGGAAGCGCCAGAGGACAGCAAATCTCTGGATGGCGTCGGCCCGCTGGCCTGCCTCTTGGTGGTGCATCTCACCGGCTATCAGCTTGGTGACCGTATCGGGAATCTTGACTGCACAGATCAATACCATGGCAGCTGCAGGAACATAAGACAGAAAACTTTACACGTACACAGCAAGTACAGATCTCTGTCCTGCTCTTAAAAAATGAGGATTTTATCAGGATGTTACAGGCGGGGCCCTGGTGTTGCTGCAAATGATGTTCCAGAACAAGTGACGGAAAGCAGAACTTATCAGCAAATGATGACTTTATTGACGGCTGATTCCCTATCATTAGGGTCTGCAGGCTACCACGGCCTTTTGAGAAAGTGATGTATCCACCCCACTGCATACAACACCGTACTTCAAGCAAATCATGTTTAAAGGTGATCGATTTTTCAAATTGCATATTTGCATAACTTTCTCATCAAACACTATTACAAACATAACGGATGCAATGGCTCATTTGTTGAAAAGCCTCCAAAATGCTGTGCCTCAGAAGAGAAATTTTAGGAAAGTGCATGTCATTTGGTATGTTTGTATGCAGCACACACATGTTCATAACACATTACAGAACACAGATCGTCACTTTACCCAAATGAACATCTCTGAGGTTATATATAGCACACATGGAAAGTCAATGAGATGCCACGGGCATGCCACACTGTCAAAAGGCAATATTGATTTTTGCCAAATAGGCAATCATGCAGGAGACATCATGAAGTGTCAGAATATCCCAAAATCTCAAATTGCCAAAAATCTCAGCCTTGGGCAGATTTGACACTTCATCAAAACAGCGGCTACATGTATTGTTTGCACATCGTCCCAGCCCCTCTCCACCAAGAAGTCTGTAACCCACCTGTCGATCCAGCAAGCTGTTGGCTACTGTCCAGCAGTAACTCCCAAGCCAAAGTGAGAATGTCGGCAAACAGGTCCTCGGTCAGTATGGGAGCTGCCTTGGTGAGCAAGGAGAGAGGACTGTGCCACAGGAACATAGCCTGGTGAACCAATCACAACAATCATGCTCACATCTCTGTGTTACAGTTTAAATATTACATTTTAAAATGTAATTTCAGATATCACATAACCATGCATAACAAGATGAATCCCACATTAATGAATTTTCAGCCTGTTCATTTCTACATGGCAAAAGTTTCCATTCAAAATTATGCAGTACCAGAAGAGAAGTTTTCAACACAGTTCACATAGTTACCTCATCCATCACATTTTGCTGCATTGGCATTTGGAAAATTTACACCGAGTCTTCATGCACCAGGTAAATTAGTTCAATAATAACATTGTGATCTATTGATTCACTGGCAATAAACATCAAAACACCTTTGTGGAATGACAACCTTTCTGTTATGTAATGACATCCACAGGGCATTATGTTTCAATCTTCAGCTTATGAGAAAGATTCTGGGAGGATGGAAGTAAGCAAGCAGTTTGTCCCAGTTGGTGCATTACACATTTCTGTTGTGGAATGACAATCTAATTTTTGCTAAACTATTCAATTACGTTTCACATGCTGTGTTGTTTGCTGATGACATTTCGCGCTGTAGAGGTCAGAAAGTGTCAAGATGTCAGATAGAATCTTACAGGCTTGCTACCAACCTGAGTCTTGAGATATTTGAGCTGTGGTGAGTCTTCCTTCTTGGGCCACTCCAGCTCCATGGGGAAGGAGCCACTGGTCAGCGCTACAGCCGAGTTGGTGCGGCTGGTTGACGCAGCCACCTGGTGACGGAAGACGCTGACCTGCCGGTCCAGGGTGGAGGAGGTGCTCTCCCGTCGTAGCTCTCGGAAGCTGCGCAGCGTGGAATGGCCCTGCCCAGACTCCTGCAGGTTGCCAAAACAATAATTAACGGAATATTACCTTTGGGTGATTCTGTGTCAGTTATACCAGGGGCCTAAAGTTAATGGCTTTGCTAACCACAAAATTCTTTGCCTACGACTAACATTACATGCAGCTTTAACCTACAGTAATCATTCTGCGCTAACAGAGTTAACACGAATCCTTACAGGATTGACACACAGATATAACCCAAATGTTGTTGAAAACCTGTGAAATACACCGTAAATGCAGTCTGCTATAGTTAGTGGCCACTTTTTGCTTATAGTAAGGAGAACCATGATAATGGGCCCACATCTGCTCTGGCAAAGATTTACAAATGTATAACCGTTAATGATCCATCTAATTCAATGAGTTCAGAGCATGGATTACATCCTTTCACCTTCAGTTCACCACTTCCTTTTTTGTCCATCTTATGTTTATGAAGTCTTGGCAAATGTCCATTGATTTTGTTCTCTAGTTTTCTGTTACTCGTATAAGAGGAATGGGTTATGTTGTGTGTCCATGAAATCTATTCACTGAATATTTGGTTCATGGTTTTTACTCTATGGAGGCTCAGACTTGACAATGTTTGCTTCTCGCATGTTCACTCTTTTCTTTGCTTTTTGTGAAATCCATGAGAATTAGTTTTTGTTATGTTTCCAATTTTTAGGTAATTGGATATATGTAATACTATAACTAGGCTCCAGGACAAAGTAAAGTCAAATCTATTACTACATAGTATCAAACAAGTTGAAAGAGGCTGATGGAGCAACTATTTCCTCTGGGTACCTAACACCCACATACAGACACTCATACAAATTGGTAGCAAGAGCTCTACAGCCTATTGCATAACACTTAAGCATGTAGGTGATGTGTCACACCAAAAGTTTGTTGTTGCTACATAACTCACAAGTTCAACATCTATTAATAATGTATGAAGCTAACAGACCAACCGCAGCCGATTTCACAGGACTCAGCTTAACTTCCCCCATGCACAACACTTCAATTACATTAAACATCCGCACAGCAATGACGGCTCCTTTGCAGTTTTCCAACAAGTAGTCAACAGTCATTAAATTAGCTCCCAAAAAACCTTGGATAAAAAAATCATCTACTCTTGGTCGGAACTGAGGAGTGAATCTTGAAGTTCTCTCACAGCCTAACAAGCTATCTCATCCTTTCAAGTTCTGCTAAGCACAAAATTTCACATTCATATTTTCCTCTTCACTACGACATTGGGCTTAGACTGCACTGTACAGCCATTATGAGCAACGACTGTAGTTTGACCACTGATTATGTGCCTCTTAGCAATGCACACACATACAATATCATCCGATTCTAACGACTTAGGTAGAACCATTTCTTATGAATCCCATTGGAACTCACATCTTGTCATTGGTTGCTACACTCAAAGCCTTTGCCCAATGGTTCACTTTATACCCAGTTACAAAAAAGGCAATTGATAACCAGCGATGCAACCATGCCCAAGGGCTTGGTTCCCTAAATGGTCACCTGGATGCTCCAACCATCCGTCGTTCAAGTGACATTGGTCAAACCATGGTTAACCACAGATCTTTCTTTCTATGTCACAAGTGCAGTTGGTGGTTGGCAAAACTATGGCAAGCTATGAGAGCCAAATCAAGAGAATAATTCACAAAGTGTTTAAAAATCTCCTGGAAATATTAGGCCCTGAAAAAGCAAATACTTGTACTGAATACTAAAGGCAATGCCTCCCATATTAAGACTGTCTAGCAAAATGCCATTTCAAGGTAAACGTTGTTGTGAACCAAAGGTGAATGTTCTGCAAACTTTGGCCAACCATACAAAATGGTGGTCAATGTTTGTAACAAAAGAAAGGTCTTCAGTCAAGGCTAGAAATTGTTTGCAGCTGACCTTGCGTTTGCCTTTGCCGTCCAGCCGTCTCATCCTCTCGTCCATGTCATCATCTCGGGGTCGCAGAATGCTGTCCTCACCGCAGATGTAGCGGACCGCCTTCATTAGCCGGTAACAGTTGCGTTTCTGTCGCTCAAAGCAGTTAGGGTGGCAGCACCGTTGGTGGTTACAGATGAAGTTGGTCTTGCTGGCAATCTCCACAATGATCTGAATCAAATGAAAGGGAAAAGAGTCATATATAAGTCTATCAGACTGAAACACATTTCTCAATTGGGAGATATCCTTTTCTGAATTGGGAGATGTTTGGGGATCGTCTTTTTTGTCTTTCCCAAGTGAAATAAACCATATTCTGTGGGGGTAGGCCATTCTGCTTTTTAAATGTCCTTTAAACTAATCACAATGCGGGTGTTTCACAATAGTGCGCCTCCAAGAGTTTGTAATGCATTGACCAATCACAGTGCACGAAATCTGTAGATCCAGTGCGTGTTTGGACAAGATCGACAGATTCCACGCCTTGTGATTGGTCAACGCGTTGCAAACTCTTGAAGGCGCACTATTGTGAATTGCCCGTATCAACCAGCAAAGAAATTCTGGTTTTATCCTTTTCTGTTTGTATTCTTTTTGTAGGGAGGTAAATGGGTGGTAGAGAAAATAAAGAATTTTTTTACATAAATGAAAATGCTAAACATTTCTTTAAAAGTATTTGTAATTGTTTTTAATGGGATGTCAGTGTATGTTTTGACTATGAATTTCTAGATATATATCTAAGCTTCTAAAATGCTCTTGTAATTAACAGGTACATGCACAAATTCCTCTTCAGAAGTGGTAGAAAGAGATGCTTAATACAATCTTGAACTTATGGAGACCAAAATTCCAAATGATGCCCGTCATCATTTGATGAATCATCTACATTCCAGACAACAACTTATTGTGTATTCTTCTACACAGTACACAAAGTGTACCAAGATTTCCTTCCTAGGCCGCAGCTCTTGGGAATGGTCATACCGTGCCATCTACTGCCCTAGTTAGCATCATGTTGTGCAGGAATGTTTCTGTACTCTGTGCAGGAGGATGTATAAACATCATCTGGCCATCAACCCAGGTGCGTTGACAGGCTGCCACGCCTCAACTCACCTACCGCTGATGTTTAATGAAAATGCTGATCTCCCATTTGTTTAGTAGACCGTGTGCTAAACCTGAACTTGGCTGGCATGCACAGCGAGCTGTGGTAGCAAGTATTGCTCTGTGGGTGTGCCCCAGAGTGTTACAAAGACATATGGAACAAATGCTGTTCCTCATGACACTTATGAGTCAATATTTGTTATGAATAGAAGTGTATCCAAAGTTGGTTGCTCTATTTTGCCTTTCTCAAAAGTCAGAGATATCAAGCCACACAATACTAGCTGCAAAAGGGCTGAAAGAAACTTGGATCTGGAGGATGGAGACTGAGATGTGTCCCCAGTGTTAACCTTTGGGTTCTCAAACTAACTACTGTACATTTGCTGTGTCATGTCACCGCAAATACAAATGAAGACTGTGTGATGTACTGCTCTCACCGGGATCCAAGGCATGTTCTTGCTCAGGTCAATGTCATCCAGCCCCACTGTATCTGGCGTGGAGGCCAGCTCGGGGACATGCTCGGGCTCCTGGGGGCTGACCTGCTCGCTGAAGACACTGCTGGTTTCCCCCGTCGAGTCATCGTCCACCGATATGGAGCTGATTTTGCGGCTCTTGACGCTGCCTGAGCGGCCCAGCACTATGTCAACGGAGGCAATTGGGGGAAGGAATAGTTAGCGGGACCTGGGCTGTACAAACAATCCAGCCAAGTTCAGAGAAAGAGAAAGGAGGAAGGAACAGAACAGACAGACAGAGGTGAATACAAGAAGTAAAACGATACACTGACCAAGATTTACAGACTGATCATGTCAGACATGGATGGTAACAGACTGCTCTCATATTGCCTACAGATCATTTCAGAAATATCACCCTTGAATGGTGTCGGATTGCACCCTCAAAATGTACATTTTATTATTTTCAAAGAGGGTTGTATTTTCATTTTGTATTATTTAGTAGCTGTATATGTCATTTGCTGTTTTAATGCCTGCATTTTTAATATTTAGTGAATGATTCTTTTGCTTATGTACTAAAGGAGAGTCACTGATTTACAAGCCACAAGGCGAAAAAATACAACTGAGATACAGAAAAGAGCAGATACTGTAAGGATATGATCATAGTAAATGAGCATGACCCCGCTTATTCAATCACAATATTCAGGCTGATTGGAGAGGTTAAACTTAGCTAGAGAGAAACTGGATTTTTATTGTGGCATTTATTCTTGTCATATGTGAGATGAACGCAGGCTGATTTGAAGTGAAAGACTTGACCCCTCACCACTGTGGTCAAAACTTGACATGGGATGCAGTCAACAATGAAAAAGATTATTTTCATTAATTTTGTGTGATCTTTCAGGCCTAGTTTATCCATTAAATGCTCCAAAGATTGTGACCTAAGTGAGCGAAATAGTTTATCGATAAGCTTGCTCTTAAGGTGCAGAATTACCTGACTGGGGCATTCAATACTAAAAAGAAAAAATACTTTGTCCCAGCACCACAGAGCAGTTGGTTCACGTAACCAGGATCTCATGTGAATGTGAACATCATAGGTATCATCAATGTACAATAGTGTACTGGTTCAAGATCTAATAAGGTGATTTTTATCCATCATTTGAAATTCAACATTTAGCCTAGTACACACACACAGCTCAGTGGTTGGGAGCAAGCCATCTGACCCGAGTCAGTCCACAAGGTGGGAGGATAACAATGAACATGTAAGCATATACACACAGGAAAGCATGACACAAGAACAGAATAAAGAAAAAATAGGCAGAGTGACAATAGGTCCCAGCATGGACCACATTACAGACAACAGACAAAAACTGGAGACAGATTTAAAAGTGCTAATATCCAAAAATAGCAGATGAATTTTGGATGCACGTCTGTTATAAAATAAATTTGGTATTTCATTACTATTCCAGCACTTTCATGAGAAATGGTCTTCAACTCCAGCACAGTCAAGACCTTTGAATTTGTAGCCTGACAGTCAAAAAGACAGGACACGAAGACGGGCAAACTCTACAATAAAATGTCAAGAAAAGCAGAAAGTGGGAGGAAACCCAAGACAGACATGGGATATATACATGTACCTGGTTATAGTTAGAGAAAGGGTGCAGGAAAATCTCTGCAAAATGTTACAGCTGAACATTAGAGAATGATTGTTAAAAGAAAGGGAAAAAAGTGAGAAGTTGGGATTCAATTGGAGCAACTCAGCTGCTCCTTGTGCAGTAAAGGATCAACTTAAATTGTGACGAGATACAAAAGACACTGCAGTGACAACACGACTCAGGCTGAAGGTATTTGTAATCTTAATTCACAAAGAGGAAACCACAAAGGAAAGAAAGAAAAAATGGAGGACACAGAATCCGTGCAAAATGCGAGCGCAGTGTCATCAAAGCGTAAGTGACTGGTGAAGAGAGAAGCCAATGTTGATACACAAGCATGACAAGAAAAGGTATGATTAGTATCAAGCACAGAGGAATAGAAGTTTATCTCAAAATGTACATTCACAGGCATTCTTCTAGATGAAAAAGTGCATACACTATACATGTATGTAGCAATTTAACCTAAGTTACTCAAAAATAATTGCATGCTTTTCCCTTCTTTTAATGCACCATTAGAAGGGGCTGTGAAATTCAAAGAGAAAAACAAATATTTTTACAAGCACTCACGGCTGTAACTGAATGAAAATAGTGGCCCCTTCCCATTGTTCATTTTGCTCCATGATATAGTGCTGTTTTCCAAGGATGCAATTGGTGGCAATATCCCTGTGCAATGTAGGAGTTCACTGCATACACTATCGACCTACAGTTATCCCCATGTAAAACTTTGAACATTCAGTGTACTCAATTACTGATAACCACTATATACAAAAAAATTGGAAATCGACCCCTCCCCAAAAAACCTTCTGAGGACTTTTTACACTCAAACATCTGCACCACCAGATCTTTTTTGTTTATGCTAGAGTTTTGCACATGTATTGAGTTTGAGCTAATCTTCAGATTAATACTACTGTGCCTTTACAAATTCAAGTCCTGGTACTGAAATGTGCATCAGCAGTGACCACAGTGACAGTTTTCAGATCAAGACAAAAGCCATTGATTGCTCCTTACACAAATGTGTGCATGTGTAGAAATTCACTTTGAAACGATTTCCAATGTTTACCCTTTACACCAAAAGTCCAGTTATAAATCCAAAGATTATAAGAACAAACAAAAATGATATCAACATATAACAATCGATGCGACTTTCTTTCAACTAGGATTCAGGATTGAAAAAGCATGGCAGTGTTGTCAAACCGATAAGATGCTGAAAAAACAGTGAAGGATGATTCATTTGTAATGGTTTATGATGCAAAAGTCTGTGGTCAAGGGTTTGAAACCTTAGCAATCTACTGTACTGAAACAAATTGCAATGAAAATAAACAATCATAAGAGAAATAGAAAAGGAAAGCTCTTTAATGAGCTCAAAATTCCATATCTAATGTATAAGGTTATCATATGCCACAACACAAACCTACTATGAGTTCAATGTGCAAACTCCATCTCTAGTAATAGGAACAAGTTAGCAAGGAGAGTAATTACTAATGTAACAGATGAAAGGAGAAAGGAAGGAGGAATAAAGTGGATATGGAGGAATCTGCATAGGACTGCCACTGTATTGTGTGAATGCAAGTAAGCGTACAGCTGCGTAGTTAGGGCTAACCTGATGCACACTCACTGATTATCCGGCATTTTATGCGAGTGCAGAATATCAACTGGCTCATAGCTAGTGTATATTACCTCTAGCATTGACAGGTTTCTTTTACATGTACGGCGATAACATGCTGGGAATCGTTTAATCAGGTGCACAGATCATCAGTGAGGAAAGAATGAAATCATAAGAAAAATGGGGTTGAGAGTGAGGAGTGGCCAAAGTAAAGGTAGAGAAATGGGGAAGCAATGCATGAGAACGGCGTCAAAGGAGGAATTTCTTTTACCATTGGTAGATGGTGGTTGATTGGTTTCACAAACCCAGGCATGGATCCAGGATGGGAGGAAAAATAGGAGTTAATGGCCCATGAGGGAAATGAAGGGAAGAGGAAGGCACAGACAACAAAGTCTTGACTTTTGGTTCAATCAAAAATGACACATGTAATGGTCAAATAATTAGTATTCGGAATCCCTCAAAGTAAGAGTCATGCCAAAGTTGCAGAGTGCCAAGCTCTATGATGTATCTATGTCAACTTTGTAGTGATGGTAGTACATAGATAAACGTGCTGTTAAAAAACTAGAGAGCTGAGTCCAGATTCAATTTTCTTACATCCAAGAATGGGATACTGTATATTCAAGACCAAAATCTCCAAGTAATGTAGAAACATGGAGGTGTTTCCACCACAATATAGGCAAGCAATGCACACATGACACTGTAAAGTCTTTCACAAATGTTATCAGCATATTTAGTACAATGCAATGCTATCAAATATAGCAGTTTGCAGTAGTTCAAACAATGCGTCCAAAAACTAACAGGGATTTTCTGAGTGTGCAATAATACCCACATGCTCATATTTGGTCTGTATTTTCATTTCTGACCAAAGTGAGCATGGGCAATGACTGGGCACATGTACATGGAGTGTGAGTTTGTATCATTTTGATACTTATAGTAAAAGCCATCTGCTAGAGGCGGTAACCATTATTGCACAAGAGCTCTACAGGTTAAACAGAAGGGCAAACCAAAGAAAAGTGCACTCCTTGTAGAAGTAAGGCAACTTTTTAGAGAAGCATCCAATGTATCTTCAGTTAATGCACTGACTTTGCAACACAGCTCTCTAGTAATTTAAAGCACAGCTGTTTAGTTAAAAACCACCCAGTGTTTGTAAAACCTTTCACTCTAATTGCATAACACTAAAACCACTACAGCCAGTTCCATGGGACCACTGGTGCTCCAATTTGTATACTGTTGGTAGTTTTTGAGAGAATTTCACACAGTGATGGGTTGGGTGTGAACATGTGACAGAGGCAGGGAGTCATCAGTGATTTTGCTACAAAGGAAAACTTGTCATGGAGCTAATTGATGAACAGATTTTTCTCTGTGGTACCATTAGAGCAGACAGAGGTTGATCAAAGAATTGGCCCAAACAGGTGCAATCTTGCAGTCGGTTCTATAGCATCTCAAACAAAATTTCTATCATCTTATGCTGCAAAACAAGAGTGGGCATGAATAATCAACTAAACTGTGGTGCATAAAACAGAATGCCAATAACAGTCATTTTATTCACCAACTGCTGTTGCTGACACTCTGTTGTTTTGACTGTTCTGTAAAGCAGCACAGTCAATTAAAAAAATTGCAGACATTCTGTAGACAGAGCGGAATGATCGGGGTTATTAGACAGTATCAGTGCAAAGTGTTTGCTAAAGGATTAGTTGTTCGATACTGCCAAAATTCATCCCTGCGACAATTGACTGGTGCAAGACATTCTGCCGAGTTTGTAAATCTAAATCAGGCCAGATGTTGCTTTGGATTCTGTGTAGAGCTTACAGATGGCAGAATACTAAACAACAGACTCATTCTCTCGCACACCGTCCTTACATAGCACGGGGATGGGCTGCCTTCTTCAGGATGCGTGGAGTATTTTCCGTATTTTCCTCACTGGATAAAATTTGTTTGAACAGTAACCCAGGTCAACATGCATAATGCATGTGAGTGACACATCAGCACTGAAAGTGCCTGCCCAATAAGGCAGCAAGCAACCTATGATGCTTCGCACACATCTGTAGCTGTGATGCACTTTCCTCACAAAATTTTGTGGAAGGAGTTACCTCAAGGTTATGAATCACGCCTTCCCCAGCATCCTGTAAGGGAGCTAGGGGAGCCCCGGAGAGCACAACATATACATGCAATGGGTTTGCATGAGAAACCAATTTTCCTTTGAATGTGTACAAATAATAGTTTGCATTTTTTTTGCCAGAGGGCATAGTTATGCACAGAATGCATTGGCAACAGGGTGCAGTTTTCAGATTTCAATTACAAAGGCTTCAATAAACAAGCACCTTGCAATCTGCCAAATTTCTACCTCCAACTCAATACCAAAAGGAAAGTATTACTGGCAAGAATGTCTGCAGATTCAATTAGTCAGGCACTGGCATGACACCCACACTCTGCAAAGTCTACAGAATGGCAGCAAATGCTTTCTTCAGCTAGGGGCCAAATAGAACAAGCACACGGCGCTCCACACTTACAAGAAGACAAAAACGATGAAGCTAAGCCAAACACAGGGTGCTCATCTGAAAACAAGCATAAACAATTTGTGGAAGAGAGAAGCAGACATAAATCTATAAGCAACAAAACTAGGGGAAAGAAAGAGAAAAAAATTATATATATGCAGAGCTCATGAAATTAAACGCCTCTTTGGAAATCCACAATTTCCTAAAGGCAGCAGCAACTGGGGACTGTGGCAGCAATAGAATTTTTGCCAAGAAGCCTAAAGCATATCGAGTGTTTAAAAACAGGACATCAACAAAAAACTAAGGAGGCCAATGGGTTATCCTTGGCAGGAATAAAATCAGTGAGCTTCTTTGGCCATGGAAGAATTGGCTGTTTGCTGCCAACTGACACTTTGTCAAATTTTAGGAGTCCTACTTTTTCAGCACAGGACAGGGAGACAACTTGCTACACTAAGCAATGCTAGACAGTAGAGTGGATCTTTAACCCTAGAAGAGCTGTGGATTCCCTTCCCCAGCACATTTTCTTCAAAACCAACAATGCATCATTTTGGAAACACAGAAAACAAATCAATGTTTCTTATCTTTAAACCCATTATGACCACAGTTTAAGAAGATAAAACTTCAGTGTAAATATCAAATGACTAACTGGGCAAAATATGGTTGAAACCTTGAAGATGTTCCCACCATCATTATATCGCATGCGAACCAAATTTGTAAACCTTTGCCACTGGTCAGCCCCTATCCACTAAGTTTGAATGACACCTCCATTGGTTCTTTTGGGGCTTAATTTTGTTACCAAACCCTTTCAGCATCACATATCTGAAGTGTGAGAACAAAGCCTGTCGTGTACACCCCAGCTATAGGTAAGTTTGACTTGTTCATTGGACAGGATAGGTCTGTGTTCCATCAGCAGTCATGCTTCTGTATAATTTTCTTGCCGATTCTGTCTCCTGATTGGCTGCAGCATAATCATGTGGTTCCCTTGACACAGGAAAGTTGTACAATTATCTAAAATTGAATGAGTTACTTGTCAGGTCACACCCATCTGAAATTTCCCTTAAATTCAGTGCCTACATATAGGTAAGCACTCAAAGCATCATCAGTTTTGATACCTTCTTTGGGATGTGCCTGCTTTTCACATACTCTTTTAATTTTGGACCAACGCTTAAAAAAAACCCAGCATAATCTTTTAACTGCTGGCATATGATCTGGACCTTCACCTCAGAGAGGGTTACTATTTTCACACTATCAAGCAGGAAGCCATGATGAAGACTTCTTTCTTTTTAAAGCTGAAAGATTAAAAGAGGTGAACAGAAAAATTGTAGTTTTCCCTCCTCGTTTTGTTGCCCAACCAAAGTGGGCAGCACTTTAAAAAAATGGATTTCTGCACAATTTTTACACTTTGTTTTGAAAATAGTGAAAACTTGGCTTTAACTTTTTATAAACCAATACATGTTTTGTTGGTAGACAAGGGAAAGACCATAGCTAGCTGTGCACTTGGAGAACGGCTTTGGTGAGAATGCTGTCTGACAGTATGTGATACTATCAACATCCTTATCTTTGGCTAGATGGAGGTTTGGGATAACATTTTCCCCCCTGCAATGGCTGATTACAACATGGAAACATAACACTTTCAATTGCTGTTTATTGCTGAATCATTTGCCACTCTTTTCCATTTTTTTCAGTATTTCAGGTTTTGGGGGAATACTTGTGAATGAAAAACAGTTATTTTCTTCAACAAAATGAGAACCCTTTACTAAACAATTAGAATATTTTGTATGGCATTTATCTAATATAACACCTTACATTATATTTTAACACAGTTTTGAGGACATATGCTCTACCTACAAAGCTACAAACGTCAATAGATATAATTTGTTAAATTGATAGGAAAAGAAACTAAAAAAATTGCATACACATAAGAGGTTATGATCCACTTTAACGCATATTAGGACAATTTGGTGTGTGTGCACTTGCTTTAGTTTCAATCACAGTGCATGCTGTTTGCGTGTGGTGTGCAGCCTAAGAGCTTACATTTCAGAACTACCACTCAAAGAAAAAACCTGCTGGGTGACTCTGACAATGGTACAGACCTTTCCAGCGAACCATCGACTACTTTCTCTCTCTACAATAGAACAAATAAGCCAGTGTGGTGTTCCGAATGAATATGCGCACATCTAGATTTGATGATACTTCCGGTGCTGATAAATAAATCACTGTGTCTTTATCAATTGTGATGGTACACTCACGCAACAATGAAACCAAATAAAAGATCTCACGCTTAAACCATCCGCTTTTTTCATGATAATCACAAGCACACTGCGAGGATTTTTGATGGCCTACTGCTCTTCTAACAAGAACCAACTGAAAAGGAAAACATAACTGGCCCAGAAGGGCAAAGGTGTTCTGATCCCTTGCCAACTCATTTAGTTCTTGACCAAAAGGACAGGCCTCACAAACATGTTTCAAGAAAAGACAAATGAGCAGGGCACGTTTCCAACATGCAAACTTTCACTCAAATTTCCATTTTTTTTTTTGCTGGGAAAAAAGGATGTGGATTCTGTAATACCAAGTCCCGATATTACGTTCAGACATTTTGCTTCTGCATTTACCCAGCAGTAAAAATCATCCGATCTTAGTGAGCATATGCACAGTCGGAATACTTAAATGGCTTAATACTACCTTTCTGCTACACAAAGCTGGAACACTACAGAGTACATATCTACATGACAAACTGTACGCAGTACACCACGTAGTGAATATTTTAGAAACTTTGCTGAATTAGCTTGTTTTTGTTTGACGCGCGGGGTAAAATAAAAAAAATAACAAGAAAAATAAAATTCACAAGAACAGCAGGGGCGACAAGAGCGTTAATTGGCATGTTTCTACCTGCGGGGGCGCTGTTTTCATGAGACATGCCGATGATTGTTGGTTGACTCTCGGCACTGAATTTAACATGCGGTGTAGTGTCAGCCGGCGGCTGGGCCTGGGAGCCTGGTTGCGTTCCTGATGAAGGATCGATCGGGATGAAAAACAAAACCTCAACACATACATATATATATCCCTCAATGAAATAAAACAAACGAAAAATTGGCTTGCAGACATTATAGCCATGACAGCATCTTTTGATATAAGACAGAAGAAAGAAATTATTGATTGTAAACGGTGGGTGCATGGGGCTCAACGAATGAATTCCTGGTCTCAAAACTGACTCTTGCTGAGCTGAAACAAAATAAATATCAAAGAACACTCAACATTTTCATTGGATTCCGAAATACAACTCACTCAAAAGGCAATGAATTTCAAACAGTCCAAAACTGTTAATTCGGACCCTCCTCCAGCAAAAACTTTACCCGGATTCAACAAAATTTAACACTGCCAACAAAAAGCCCATGGTATCCAACAACAATCCAAATCAAAATTTTCAAATCCATGCAACCTAATGAAGCCCAACCCGACAAAACCAAACCACACCAAATGCTATCAAACTAACTACCACTTCAACCAGTTGCCTAACCAAATCCTACCCAAAAAAGAAAAAAATGTACATCAAATCGGAAACAAACACGAATCCAACCAAACAAACACCAACCAAGACAAGCTTTCCCAAGACTTAACCAAACAAAACTGTTGAAGCTGTCATCATGTCAACCCACTGTCAACCTAATTTTGGAAAAACCACAAACAGCCCCTAAATCTCTACTGAACCAATACACACATTTACAACACAGTCTATCTCAAACAAAAGAGACAAACAAGGACAAAACAGATTTCAAATATGTAAATCTTGGTGTCACATACACGTACATCATGTTTGTTGAAAAATTTACCTTCAGCTTTAAAAATGCTGGTCAGAAATGTTTTTCTATTATTCAGCCAGGTGTGTTTTAAGATGTTGACATACTAACAGCATCCCCAAACAACAGCTTAAAAAGCCTGAACTACTAATTATTCTATCCCTGAGCCTACATTTTAAGGTAAAACACCCGCTATTTCTTGTAAGTGTTTCAAGAATACCAAAACGTGCCTTGAGCTCCGACAAGACAAAATAATCATGAGTGATATAAACCAAGATAGGCAAAACTAAAATATGAGATAACTTGATGGAGTGCTTGATTTTTTTTCAGCCAAATACATAAAAGCACATATTGTTAATGACTGCAAACACACAAAGACTGATGAATATTTATTTCTGATTAATCGGTGAAATAAACAGCCCATAACTTTGATAAACAGAATATTGAATGAGCTTGGCCACTATTTGAAAATAATAAGAGAAAGAAACATGCATGTTAAATCCATCCAACTGGTACAAACTTAACCTCATACATACTGTATTATCATTCAAGATGTGCGGCAGCTTAACGTCAAAGTCACACAATGAGCATTGCAATTTCTAGCAGTAAACCAGAAGGTACACAGTATCAAGTGCACCAAAGACTGCTTCCTGTAACCTTGAACAGTGAACAAATCTTGAACAAATATGTATGAGGTATTTACACAAGTATAACATGGTTATGTTTGCATGGCAATACATCAGTCTCCTGTGAGCTAGAAGCTAATGAAGATTTTTGTTGAGCTTAACCTCATCCAAACCATGTTGCATTTGTTCACTTTTTTCAAATTGGAAAACAGCCATCAAACACAGTCTCAATAGATGAAGATCAACACAAATGATAAACTGCTGTATTTCTGTGCAATAAAGATGGTTAATAGTTGTGGATGAAAACTGAAATTTGTATGGGTTTACAAATACAGTTCAGATAATCAAGTCAGCATTTTTGTCCGAGCTTTATGGCAAACCATCATGTCCGTTTGTCAACTGTACCACTTCATTCTCACACCCTTGCGTCTGCTGTCATACTTTGCCACTGTCAAAACACACAGGGGGGAAAAACTGAACACTGGCACAAAATGAATATTGAGTGATATGTACCTTCCACCAAATAAGAAAGATGACAATCCATGCATCAGATGCAGTAAATGGTTTAAGTAAGAAAAGAAAACTGTCACCATGCCGTCATGATACCTTACCGAAGAGGGAGTCTGGTCGGCTGCGGTGGCGATTACGGAAGCTATGGTTGTGCTGCTCCCTTGGTGCTGGGGAGGAGGGGGCAGGGTGGCGACGGAGAAGTCCCCCACGGCTCTGCTTGCGCCCTGGGGTCACTGTGTGAATGACAATGGCAGGATCACAGTTTACAAACAACATGGGGGATAATGGGCCAAGTTCGAGCAATGACCGATTGTTGACAACTGGGCAATTTTCCCTGGTAACCTGTGTGAAAAATACATCCTGGGTACTGGGCAAAATTGACCCATAGTTGACAAGTGGTTGTCACTTGAACTTGCCCCCAGGTTTAAGAATAGGATTATCCTCAGAATGCATGCAATAAATCTATGAGGCACGGAGTCAGCAAAACAGATTTTTTTGTTTCAAGACAAATGGTGAAAAAGCAGACATCAGACATCGTAAAACAAATTCGACCTGGAAATGACTGAATTCACCATCTACGGTATGGTATGACAGCAGCATCCGTCCATTTTGTCACACTGATTTTGGGTGTAGAGGAGTGCTACCAAGATTGTTAGATGATACAAACTTCCTTGCAGCATCAGAACTTGCTATCATCTATAGAACCTACGGGTGCAAGATGTTACCCCTCGAATTTCCCGAGCAAACTGTCAGATGCACCCAGATCAAGTTGCCTATACATACAGGGATATGCAATTCTTCAACCCCCCCAAAAAAAGAAAAGAAAAGAGGCAGAATGCCACAATAACTGTAATTTCAAATTCAGGTGTCCATAAAGTCCACCTTCCTCTCTTTGGCCACCAGGGTATATGTACTTCATCATTAAGCCCACAGTTGCTGGGCAAATGCATGAAATGTGGTTTCAGAATGTATATCGGCCTGCTTGGAGGTGAGGAGCCATGGTGTATTCAGTTGAGATTTCTGAGGAGTTACCCAGGATTGCACACATTTTTCAAGGAGGCACTGGAGAGCATTTTAATGGTGAGTTTAGTTGGGGCACCTGGGGGGCAAAATCTTCCACGAGGAGCTATCCTATACATTCCTTGGGGCAAAAGCCACTGGTAATGAGCCAGTGTCCTGAGCAATGATAGACCTCTCTTATATCTTTCATGATATCACCTCATCCACTGTGTTTCTGCACACAGCATCAACCTTGGTTGGCTACTCTTGAACCTTCTGAACAAAATTACTTGCAGATAGCCAGGTGTCCTTTTAAAAGGCCAAGTCAACATATGCTGCCCTACATTTTGAAACATGGTTGACAGATGGGATAGAGTGCCACGTACACTGATTTACTCTCTTAATAAAACATGGCAGAATCTGTGGTTGAGGTGTTCAGTGACAAATAGTGAGTGCTTTATTTTGTGATGGAGTACAACTAACCACCAAGTGCTGTGCTGATAACCTCAGGTGAACAGTTTTACTACTACTACTTGAGGCAGTCAATATTTGTATATTATTCATATGAGTGGCCAAAAATTACCGATATCTTACTTTTGGTTAGAGGTGGATTTTTGCTGTAAAATGTACATCTGACCAATTAATTCTAAAGAGCAGGGCTTCATTTTAATAAATACGAGGAGAGCTAATAATCGCTCTCCTTAATTCACTTTGTTGATTTAAGGAGAGTGATTAAAAATTGCTCTCCTTAAATCAACAAAGTGAATTAAGAGGAGCGATTTGCTCTCGCTAACAAAAAACCAAGTTAATGTAAACATATTTAATAAAATTAGCACAATTTAACTTTTTTTACTGAGTTCAATGAGTTAATGCACCTGTCAATTGTAATCCCGGCCCTGGGGGACCCAGGACTTTCGAAAATGTAGCGGGGACCTACCCGGATATGTCCAAAAATCAAGTGCCCCGCCTGAATGATAGCGGGGACTTGCCCGGGGTTGTACAATGGCTGCCCTGCGACAATAGCAGGGACTTGGCGGGGTTGTACAATTTGTTAAACCGTCTATCGGTAAAATTTTATAGCACTGCGCTTCGATATAAAATGCAAAGTGTTTCCCCTACCCTGACAGATGAAAACCTGACAAAGATGACACCTCATTTTGGGATCAGTGCGTGCAAAATACAGACGTTTCTTTTTTTACAAACACTGTCGCCACTTTCTATGGACTGCTAAATGATTAAAACATGTGTAATTTGATCTTTCAACCAAGTAGCACTGGTCACGTGTCTTTTGTTTTGGCGATACATTTAAATCATTGGTTATCTTCTCGATCAATCTTCAATAAACTAATGAAGTGTGATAATTGTTAATTGTCTCATGTGCTGGCACTGGCCATGGCCACATGTACATAACGAGCGTTTCAATTGGTCTCCACACAGCACGTAACAAATTTTGCTATTGGATGAATTTCCATAATTATTTCTGAGACATCCGCAAAGAAAGATTGTAGCGATTTGGGTCGTCGGCTCCTGATTCCGGTGCTTCAGATATGCGGACGAATGTTTTGCCAAAGTTTGGGATAATTATAGCAGCTGCCCCTTGCTTTGCTTTATTTCGGTGGCATTTTACCTGCGCTTACGGCGACCGACTCGATGTCATCTTAGCAATGACCCAGAAGAGTAGGGGACTTTTAGAAATTAATGAAAGCTATTAGTTGTTTATCTTTAGCAGTACGGTTGTTGCAACACAACCACCCCCCATGCTGGGGCAGGGATGGTGCGGGGATTGGTCACAACTTGAATGCCCAGCCGGGGAATACAAAAAACGACTTGGCCGGGACTATCACGATGGCCCTGTTTTATCAGCCCCGCTAAGTCCCCGCTAGTCCTGGGTCCCCCGGGGCTGGAATTACAATTGACAGGTGCATAACTTGACTAGTCTCCTCGCTCGCCCGACAGTCCATTTCGCCATTGCAGGGGCTCTGAATTTACTGCGCATGTGCATCCTTTCTTTTTGGTATTTTAAAACGTATTGCACGTCCACTGCAGATTGTATTCATCATCCCTTCCTGCACTCACAATACTACTTCGACCAGTGCATTTTCGTATAGAACACCGGGCACATTACCCGCCAGAGACTTTTTTCTTTCCTGTGGCATACTTGCTGTTCTTGACAAGCGAACATTGTTCTCATGCTCGAACCACACGAACACGCAACAGGATCACACACCATCCTCCAGCCACTACAGGGTTTTTCACAAACTCACTTCTGCTGTTCACAAACAGCCGAGAACGTCACGGTAGCGCCTGAACTCGACCCGTTCTGGGAGAGAGGTCGGCCAGGCGCAGCCACGTGCATCCATGGAATTCCATAGGCTCGCCCACAGGCACTAGGCCTGCCCACATGCGCTATCACGTTTGTGTGTTGCGATGCGGGATTCATCAAACACACGCGCACAACTCAAAAGACTTTGATCACCAGCCCTTGTGTTTTAATACATTCAATTTTTGGACTCGTCTGCTACTGTCAACCCAACGAGATTCAAGGGGCTTGTCATAAATCAACATCTGCTGGTTTGAAAAAAAACCATGCACTCCTTATATTTTTAAGGAGCACTTTTTTTTGCTCTCCTTGGAAAACATTAAGGAGCGCAGAGGAGCGCGAGCGTTAAAATGAAGCCCTGAAAGAGGGTCAAACTTTTCATTTAGTATTTCATGACAGTATTTCTCAGTTGATGTTGTGACATTGTCTAATACTCTGTGAATTATTCATTTAATTTTCTATTGAAGGCCAGTCACTGATGGTGACATAAGAAGAGAGTTCTTCCTATAAAGTGAACCGGTGGCGTAAACTAGGTCTATATGTCTGGGGGGCACCCAAGGTCCCACACATTTTATTTCAAGGGGGTACCACAACAAAATAAGCTGTGGCTACATTTCAACGGAGATTATTCACAGATTACAAAGGGGGGAGGGGGCATGGCACCTGGAGGAAGGGGGCACGGGCATCTGCTGGGGGCACATACCCCCAGAAGATACCTCCCAGTAGTTACGCCACTGAAGTGGATATTGTGTACTTTCCATCTACAGATTATTGGTATGCCTACCTTTCTTTTCCTCTACTTGCTGGTCGACGTTGTTCAACTCCGTGTTGCTGCTATGCTGGGAGTCGTCATCACCCCCGAGAGCAAAGCTGATCTTTCGCTCGCTCGTTCCTGCTCCGCACACACCGATCAAGAGAGCACACCAAGACCAAGTGATTGGGGTACACGGTAATAAACACTGACAACACACTAAAACACATACAGAATCAGAAGTGGCCTCGATCATGTCTAACTGGCCATCTCACACAAGAAGGAGGCTTTTGAGGATAATGCTGCTATAATCGAGACAAAAAGGGAAAAAACTTGATTGTTAGGTATTAGCACTACCAGAGAGCCCCAAGATATTAAACCACATACTGTCAACCATTTTTATGAGGGGGCAGGCATGTCAAAATTTGTGGGAAATACATCATGGATATTTGCTTCAATTATTTTTTCAATGTGGAAATTTTTACTCATGAAGGTTGTTTGATGTATGTGCAACTTTTCCTCTAATTCAATCATTACAGTGAAGATACTGACCTCTTTTTTTCTGACCTCAGCAAAACGTGAACTGGCCACTTACAATTTAAGTATAATACGATGCACAGTATGTCATGGTTTTGATAGGAAGAACTGCACAATAAGTCAATTGGGCCATTTCCATGAAGCAACGTCATTTCAGCTGAGGGCACCTAATGTCGCACCGGCTTGAAAATAGTCGGTGAATGTGAGTCAAGAAATGACCAGGCTAATTGGTCTGGTCTCCTGCTTGCAGATTAATTATTCAAAATGACTATGACATGCTCCACTTGGTGCACGTACAGTAGGAATTCAAGTCTGGTCCCAAGAGGCTGTTTTTTTTAAGGGGGGGAAGAAGGAAGTCAGAGTTAGCCAGTGCTTCTTTGACTACTAATTTCATATTTCCTTAATGCACAAGCTTTGCGCTCCCATGAAATTTGTATTTCCATCCAATGAACTAATTAGTCCTATTCACAAGTCAGCAATTTGGAACTGAATGCGAGTTTAAATTTTTTATTTTGGCACCTGAGAATGAAATAAAAGCACTGAAATAAATAAAACTTCTCCACAAATTAATGTCAGATAATTATGCAGATGAAAAAGTTAATATTTGTAATTAAATACTAAGCTTTTTGCCATATTTCAAAATTAAAGTGATGCACAGAACCCAAAATAGTCTGGCACCATCCCCATTAACAGATAATGTCGAATTAGATTCTTGAAACACAATCAAAATGTCTGTTGTGAAAGTTTTAGTTAGGTTCCACTATTAAACAAGCAGTCTTGCCATCACTACTGGGGAAGAGTCTAAGAGCTAATCCTGAAGGTACTACTGCACTGTACTTCAAACCATCCATGATCCAGTCACAAGTAAAGTATGGAATGTGTTAAACAGCTGGCTACGAGTTAACACTGTAGCATGTGCATCATGCACAAGGGAGATACCTACTTAAATTTCCCTCACACAATGAACAATAACTGAAGTGAATCTATTCTACATTGAAGACACCTATTCTCTTGCAAGATGCAAAAGTACGACTTAAATATCCTTCTGCAAAATTCACTTTTGGGGCCGAAATCTTTTCATGAACATTTTAAAAGGGGTACAAACAACATGACATCCACTTACATAATTACTGTAGCATAATTACCATAGCCTAATATTCAAAGCAAAGCGCAGAGGGAATTAAACATTTAATGGCCTAGGAATGGTTAAAACTACGTACACTGTTAATTTTGACATGCTTGTCTCTTCTTGAAAATAGTGAGGACACATGTGGCAGGTCTGAGTAAACAGACATGGATTGAGTGTGGGCAGGCTGACACTCGACTGTGGGATTGGTACAGACACACTCAAAAGTCATGATTACAGACTGGACTGAGTACATTAACATTGAGCAACGTACACTCAACAAATTCAGAATCATACCTCAGTGGCTCACAAATTGCTAGAGAACTCCATCTCACAGAGGCAACAATACTGGATGGTGTAATTCATCCACGCAGTCTTTCAACTGACAAAATTACTCCTTGTATGTCCGCAGAGAGAGACAAGAAAAAGCTCGGACAAATATGCTGACTTGTTTCTTTGAACTGACCATGGCTGGCCATTGACAAACACTTTGTATCTGTGGCATGGCAGAGCAGAACCTACCAGTTTCTGCACCAGCTGGAGAGAAGAGGACTGGAAAGAGCTAATGCCATGTCATTTGGGTACTTACCGGACGGGCTGTCTACCACAGTGCTGGGTGCGCTGTGCCGAGGCGGGGGTGGACTGGAGGTGACACTGGAGCCTGCACTGGCCTGGCGCTGGACAGCCGTCATGTTGGGTGCAGAGGAGGACGGCAACTCCAGGAACTCGGAGTCGCGAGTTGGGGCACGGCCAAAGCCCCCCCGGTCCACCTTCCGGGGCTTGGGCAGGCTCTGGTAGGTCTCCCGCAGGAAGGCGGTGATCTCGCACAGCAGCTGGCAAGCCACCATCTTCAGGGCATGGGGGCAGGCCGTGCCACTTGGATTCACAGTGGCTGCACGACAAGTTAAAAAAATGTACGTTTTAGTGCATGTTACTATGTCACAGTGGAATGCTTTTTAAGACTGTGTGGGTATAAACAATTTAATTCCTTTTATAGCATAGCAGAAGCAAAAGTATTTTGATGTACTAGATACGTTCCCATATGACAAGAAAAATCTGTGTCCCATTATACCATCCATAACAGACCTGCCCAGTGAGACCTGCTCATCTCAGCAAGACCTACCCATCCCAGTGAGACCTGCTCATCTCAGCAAGACCTACCCATCCCAGTGAGACCTGCTCATCTCAGCAAGACCTACCCATCCCAGTGAGACCTGCTCATCTCAGCAAGACCTACCCATCCCAGTGAGACCTGCTCATCTCAGCAAGACCTACCCATCCCAGCGAGACCTGCCCATCTCAGCAAGACCTGCCCATCCCAGCAAGACCTGCCCATCTCAGCAAGACCTGCCAATCCCAGCGAGACCTGCCCATCCCAGCGAGACCTACTCATCTCATCTGGACCTGCCCATCCCAGCAAGAGTTGCTCATCACAGCATGGCCTTCCCATCCAAGCAAGACCTGCCCATCCCATCATGACATGATTCCAGTCAACACTGCCCTACCTTCATCAAGGAAGTCCTCCTGATCGTCTTGCTGTCGGAGTCTCCTTTTGATGCTCTCGTCCTTCACCTTGCCAATGACCACGGTGACATCTTTGGCCTCCTGACGTTCAATTTCCTCCAGACGGGCACCAATGGCCTGCAAGGGAATTGGAATATCCATTGTTGGGCCATCTCCATAGTTGTAATGACTCATTGAGTTTGTGACTCAATCCTAGTTCAACTCGAGTAAAGGGGCCCAACAAGCAACACAGCATCATCCCCCCCAAAAAACAAAATTTAATGTCATGGTTTTTTGAAGGGAAAAAAAAAGGAAAGTTTGTGTCCGTATAAGCCTCATCATTGGTGGATTATGCAAGAAATGAACAACTTTGTTCCAGAAGGTAATAATAAACTTGTTTGGCTGTGAGAAAACTGCAAAACTTTTTGTACTGATGAAGAAAACGCAAAAACCTTTTCAAAATGGCAAGCGAACGCAATTCAATGACTGTTTGATGACTGCTGTTATATTGGAAAGGAACAGCTGTCGTAAAACCTGTTTTTGTCCTCGTCCAAGAAATTTAATATTATTAAAATGTGGCACATCTACGCATCTTTTCGTGAAATCAAAGGCAGGCATATTGCTCAGCTAAAGCATAAATTTGTGGCGCAAGGCTTACGCATATCTCAAAGTTACACCACGTTTCATGAAATCGGCTGCTGGTGTAATAACTGTCACTGTTATACACATTTAAGAATGCTCAAATGATACAGTCTGTGTAGGAATAAACTGCAGAATTCTTGTGCAAAAAGGAAAGTGTAATTAGAAACCCAGAAGTTCTAGACACTACTACCACACCTCATATGTATTGACAATTGAGAAGAATGTTCACTGTTTCCTTCACTATCAAGTGCCAGTCATTCATACGAGGATTGATCAAGTTAAATACATATATGTAGTGAACTGTTCCCTGGGTAAACTTTATGCATTTTATGAAGCTATTGTACTTTATGAAGCTATCTTGGAACTGTCGCCTGGGTGAAGTGCACCTGTACGAGCACCGTGATGTAATTGTATACTGAAGCTTAGTTTAAAGTGTCTAATTTGCAGCAACAATTTGTGCCAATCCCTCCAGGTGGCTCCGGTCATAACAGCATACCTCGGCCCACAGGTAGAACATCTTGGAGGCCATGCGCTGCATGGAGGCATTCTTCCGGTAGCAGGACCCCATGTTGCGAGTGCTCATGACGTTGCTGGACACCCGGCCACGCTGGTAACTGCGGCCGCTCTTCATCCACTCGGGCCAATCACCATGGTTACAGCGGTAGACAAAATGGCAGCACTCCAGGAGCAATGCTGCCCGGGCCACCACAGGGGCATTCTGGAGGTCAAGAGACAAAGATTCTTTTTTTTTTTTTGTATTGTTGGGCTTTTTTATATTTTTGATTTTTGTAGAAGATTTCTACAAAAAAGATAAAATGTATGTACGATAAAACCAAAGTTTCTATCATCACTGTTCACTATTCAGCTGAGTGTAACATGGCTGCAATTTCAATCCCACCTACTAGGGCAATGTAGTGGTACAAAGTTATAACTTTAGGGAAACTATGTGCTTGGACAAGGAGAATGGCCCCAGCCACAGGGAGGGACATCATCATAAATGTCCACTGCCATTCATACCTACCTTTAGAGTCAGCAAGTCACAATAAATTTTAAAAATTGAAATTTTCAACAATTTTGTTCACCAATTTTGACTTCAATTTCTTCAAACATCTCTGAAGCCATATGATGATGTGTGCCCCTCATGAGTAGTCATAAAGAATACTTTTGTGGATTTTCGAGTAAACATAGTTTGTACTGTATGAGGTGGTGTGAAACACACTGAACTAGTATGGTGTGAATTGGGGACTCTAAGGATGCATTCGCATGGGTTACTCGTGTTGACTCCCGAGTGCAGAAAAATGTTGTAAGCACATTACTCTTGCATCAAGAGTATACTCTCACTGACCCGAGTCATACTCCTGCCGTTTGTGCGCTCGGGCATATACTAATGTTAATATGAGTAGTAAAATGATTGCGGTTGCACAATGTATCAATCTCTTTCTTGAGAATATGTGGTTCTGAGAAGAACCAAGGAATAACTAAATTAATATGAGTAGCACACTCAAATGCACCCTAAAAGTGTGGACACAGTGGTAGTTATTGCATGAACACAAGTAAAGACTGCGCATGGGAATGAGATTTTACAGAAGTCTAAATTTCATGCGACACCAGAAAAGTGTTTTCATCAGCCATATGGTGCTTTACCAACCACACAACAGACTCTCCACTAATACAAATGGCTATAGATGTTTATGAATAATGAATAACAATGACTGCATTTATACAGCACCAAATTTCCAGGGGAATACAAGGTGCTTATTATGACTATCTTTGCTCACCAGGCCACAAATATTCTTAAAAACCATCCAAGCTCCCTGGAAATGTACAGCTCCATGCTGCCATTTCTGGCACAAAGGTCTAATCAAACACAACAACCATCTCTACTCTCACAGGTTGAGGTACACATTTAAACCTGGAAGGAGAGGGCCCAGTGACTTGCCCAAGGTCACAACAGGTAATTAGCTGCTGGATTAGAGCCCCCAATCCCATGTTCATGAATCTCAAACCCTAACCATTAGGTCATATGTCTATACAGCCAATGGGTGCTATCATCAGTGGTATGTGCCTGCAAGTAACACATTTAATTATGAACAAGATTGTGGTATCAAATGACCTTTTGCAAACTGTATTTACATTTTTCTCCAAATAATTCTGCTTCAATTTGTTTTTGTTGCTCAAATACGATGGAAATATTTTCAGGGATACAACATGAAGACAACATGGTTTAATTTATTTTTTTAAAAATGTCAAGTAAAAAATGAATTACGTTTTCATAGACATATATACTTTGGAAAAGCAACTAGACAGATGATTATTTTTTTTAATGGTTAATTTATTCCTATCATTTTTCTTACGTCAGTGACATACAGTATGAACATAATGCAATGGATCAGAATCAATGACTGGGGGGAATTTTCAAACATGCACTGTCCCAGAAACATCCCATCAAGCCATGCCCAGTACACATACCTAACTACTATGCAGTACATCTCCTGAACACCCAAATGTAGATTGCAGTACCATTGGTACCATTTACATGAAACAAAGTCTCATGGACATGAAGGGTTTTCCATCAGTTTCCTCAGAACATCGCGAGAAAAGAAAGGTGTTGCACATCACCAACAATCCATCCTGTTTTCTCTTTAAACAATGTAATCTTTTCCTTCCAATGCTCTCAATAAACACTGTGTAATAACCTTACAAATTTCAATGAATCTTTGATGCATTCAACTCTACGTGTATTCCCAATCATTACGCATAAACACTCATGAGCTGGGTCCACAATGAATGCCCTGTATCCTTTGGTTTTATTTCCATGCATGCCTAAAGCCCTGGGCTATCCTCAGATGTACAGTTTCGAAGAAACCCAGCATTGATAGCATATTAATTAGGTCACTGCCAATTTAAAGGTTCTTCCAACATCATTTGGAGCAGACATTACTTGGATCATATCACTATGGCGACAATCCTTTAATATATGTAACCAACCATCTTTATTTTGAGTTGCTAGTTAGTGACTGATCACCGACCTTGGAAGCTGATTAGGTTTTCACTGCAACATGAATACGGAGGGATTCAATGAAGATCAACAGCATGCACAACCAAGTCTATGGAAGTGTGGAAGGTACCATGTACTGACTCAAATAGGAAGCAGTGAGAATTTATCTGAGCCTGTTCCCCTTTACTTGCATCATTCATTGTTGTAACAAAACTTTGCAAATACAATGTTTACAGTTCAAATATGTCTAACCAAAGTCAAAAGCCGTCACTGTTCAGCAGTTGGATTTATATTCATTTTTAAGTACAAAGATCAATTCTTTGTAAATATATTTTTTCTGTTGAGGACAAGGTAAGTCAATGTACGCAGATCTCAAACTTTTTACCCTAAGCTTGTTTGACTTGTTTTACAAATATTTTCCTAGGTTAAACTTAAAGTCATTTTTGAATTTTTGTATTTTTCTGCTTCTTCGTCCCTGGGCTTATGAAGAATCATTACATTAAAAGACCATGCTCTGTTGCACATATAGCCCAGGTGAAATAACCTTGCGAGGAAATTAACTTATGGCCTTGCTCGATAGTAGCTCTAACTTTAAAAGACAGCCTCAGTGCCTAGTAGTATTGTTCCTGTGGGAAAGTGTCTCTCCCTCTTATAGGGCACTGTAGCTGAGACATGTGATGTGATGTACATTCACCATGTTGTAGGCAAAGACTGCAGTGTCTCCCACAATATTTTGACAGGCCTTGGAAGCTTTTAATATATTGAGATTTAATACAGAGCCGGCATCTAGTGCTGGATCAACACAGCAGTGACAAACTGTACATGGCACAAGAAGTGATCATAATGCAATTTGATAAAAGAATTCACGGTTACTGTGAAAACAAGCCTCAATCATTTACAAACATGGATGACGTTATGGTTTCTACACTGGTGGGTGATCTTGGAGAGGCCTTGGTCATGTGGTACTTTAACATCTTTCAATCACACCCTATCAGGCCCATTCATAACAAGGGATCAGCCAAAATGTGTGTATTGATTCTACAACAACAAAAAGGCTACTATACTCTCTTGAAATTTTGCTAACTTTAAGCAACTCAGCCAACACTGCCCACTAATTCCCAACACCTCATTTAAGTTTCATGGAGACTCAGAGGAACTCAACTACAACACTGGCTTACCAATAACCCAAAAAGCTGCCATTAGAACTTTATCAACCTGTTGTTCTTTGCGCCTCTTTATTTACAAGGGCTTACCATCCTCACTTGCAGGTGGAAGGCAGTTACACAGAATGCAGTAAAAGCATGGTCAAGCTAATGGCATGTGATGGTGCCTCAGGCAGCCATTAAACAACTCCATTGACCATGGAGCACAGCAAAAGATCAAAAGTATTTATTTTATGCGGAGGGAAGAAAACCAGAGAACCCGGAGAAACACCCTTGTAGCAGGAAAGAACCAAACAAAGAAACAAACAGTACTCCAAACATGACCCAGGTTTGGAACTGAACTGAGGACCACAGCCGTGAGTTGTGAGTGCTCTTCACATTGGCCATTAATGCCATGTCATCCCTTAGCCTTGGATAATGAATGTGTATTGCCTTATCACCCTGAGGCATGTTAACCGCTTGCTGCCAGGTGGATTTTTCTTGAGCAAGACAAGATGCCGGGTCCTTTTCAAGATTTTTCATTTTCAAAATTCTTCCAAAATTCATCACTTCATTTATACCCACATGAAGGACTCATTGGGCATTACTCTAAAGTTGCTGACAGGTAACCTTCATTGACTCCTGAATATTTCAGCCAGGCCTGCAGCCTTGGAAAAAGAGCCCAGATTGTGTGGCGTTACGTAAGACTCTTTTGTTCCTGAAACCGCCATAGTGCACTGCTGACTTCTTTTCAATAGGGGCCAGATTAGCGTGCAGCGGTGCTGTGTGGCTCATTGCTACGGTGGTGGAGAGCTTCTGTCCCCGGTGTTAATGCCTTTTGTTATAAGGCCCAACTCTTTTGTCCCAGTTCCGGGCTCCCTGGCTCTGCACATAAAGCCTTTGTACTCAAAAACGGGTCGCCCGGCAGGGAGTGGTTAATAGCATAATCCACGCGCTGGTGTGGGCCATACACATTTGCCTTCACTATTAAAACACTCAGGTTGTGTGATACAGACAATATGACTCCTACCTTGGAGGTGGTGTGCATGGGATGCACACCAGAATGGCCAATGACACATATTTAAAGGAGATTTTTTTTTAATCTCATTCTCGCATTTGTCATGTTTGTTGTTTAATCAGAAATCTGGCAGACTGTTGTTCAACAGGGTAATTCCAGAAATTAGGGGTCTATATTTTTTCATGTTCCTGTCACATCTGACATGATTTTGTAAGTTCAGAACACATTTTCTAATTTCCAAGAGTGATGAATTAATGCAAACTATCTACCAAACAATTAGTAATAGTTTAAAATTAATTCCGTTGATATTTCCATGTCAAATAGCAAAGGTCAGATGTAATAGGTACACACAAATGTCACACTTTTGGACCCCTGATTTCTAGAATGACCCAATAATCAGTATGGGACCCCCAACAATGACGCTCCATTTGCAACATACATGCTGCACTATTGAGCATGCCCTGCTCTGCAGCCAAGGCTCACCAGATCCAGAGAGGCTGCCAGGAACTCGGCATCTGGCACTGTGCCAGGATTGCAGCAGTCCATCAGCAGATTCAGCCTCTTCATCCCAGCGGCGATGACCACTCGGTCCACTGGCTTCTTCTCCTTCTCCGTCCCCATGTCCAGGGAGTCTGACGCCATCTCTTCCTCGTCCTCCATTGATCTTGGTGTCTCGCAGTCTGCAGATGTAAAGAAAGTTTAAAAACATGCAGTTTTACCGAATGGGTACAATCAGTTATCCCCCAGCATGAGTTGAACACACAATAACTTAGCACACCTGTCTCACAATGTCAGGAGGTTGAAAGCAGAGTGATGTATGGAACAAAGATGAAAGGGAAAAAAGGAATGAAAAATATATCATGTAGCAAACTTGAGGATAAAGTAACCATTACTGAGTTCAAAGTAGTTGACGGGGCTCTGAATCACTTCGTGTGAGGATGAAAATAATGCCTACTCTTGGAATAGCAGAAGATATGCACCACACACAAGGACCTCGGCCATACAGGTAAATATCGTCAAATGTTTTTTATGAAGTGACCAATTTGGCTATAGAGGGCAGAAATAAACTTTCAAGAAAATCAAGTTTTAAGACAGTTACTTTTTAAAACAGAGAATTGTAGAGATTAAGTTCAATTATGAGGAAAACAGTACTGACAGGTGCAAAATTGTTACATCTGTGTGTAATTTGAGAATTGACTGTCTCTTTGTGGAAATGAAAACATCAGTTGGATGAATTTTGCCCTTTATTGTTTTATAATAGTCTCTTTCAAGCACAAATTTATCCCTTCATGAAAACCAAAAATGTGCTTCAGATAAATTTTGCCTGACAACAATCATTGGTTGATTTCAGTCAACATGACTCAAACAAATTGTCAGCCTCAGGCATGTCAGGTAACCTGGTTCATTTACCAAAATAAGTAAGACATTCAAGTGGGTGATGCTCTTAGGCCAAATTTCTCCCTTCATTAAAATAGTAATGATGTTTAAAAGCCAAGGAGATGTCATTCTTGTGGTGGCACTACATTTATTGCACACTTGCATTTTAACAAGTCTCAGTACCCTATTGCATGAAGAGGCATGAACCACTCGCCCATTAGCATGGTACCATTACAGTAATGGTTTCTAATTCTGATGGCTGTATCAAGGTATATGGCATGCCGCCGTGAATCTACTAATCAGAATGAAAGATTCCTGTTTTCCTGAAGGCCAATGCAAATGAAAAGTCAATGGGAATGGATTAAGCGTTCACACTAAATAAGAATTGAGTAAAAAAAAATTCATCTCATATTATATAGCCTTCTATTAGAACTAGCACAAGTTTTTTCACTTCAAAGGGAAACTTAGTTCATCGTCTTACCATCTCTCTCCTCTGTGGAGGATGGGTCTCGCTTGCTTTTCTTGCGGAACTTGAGGAAGAAGGAATGGTCCTCCACTTTCTTGCGGCCAGCATACACGCTCCCAGTATCCTAAATTCCAATTTCAAACATTATCTTGTGAGGATTTGCAAACCAGTTACTCTGCACTTTTAACTTGAGAAATTAACAGTGGGAATACAGCTATCCAGACTGTACCATGAGCTTTCTGAAATTCATGAGTTTATTTCCAAAATGGAGCATGTGCATGACATTTGACCTCAATTATGTGATCTCAAAGAATAACAGCAGTCCACTGGGTGTCCATAAATCACATTCCTTGCTGTATTGATTCAAATTATGTTTGACTGCAAAAAAGTCCTCAAAACTGGCTTGGGTAGCCAGGGGAGGCCGAGATTCTACAAGAAATAAAACCTTTCAATAAAGTGCAAAATATGATCAACTTTCTAATATAACAAAACTTGCAGATGCATGGAATTCAGAATGTGTCATTCAAGAGCACAGAGGGTCAGAACCCTCTTATCAAGGAAAACTGACTTAGCAGAGCTCAATTTTTGAAGCTTGAAATGATGGAGACTTTCTTTCTATATGAAAATTATTAAGGGCTTGCTGTCAAACACTCAACTCTCTGAAATATTAATCCTTCTGTCTGATTTAAGTATGTTTTATATTCTTTTCAAAAAGTGTGTATTTTCCAAATCAAATGAAAGCTCTCAAAAAGATAAGAATCTTCCACTCACAGATTGTACCTTCAGGGAAAGGTAGACAAATACAAACAAACAAGCACTGCAGACAGAGAATAATGAATCTTAAAACCTTGGACACGAATACCTTAATAGAGAAAACAAAATCTCCTTTGCAAGCACTTTAAAACAAAAGTCCAATTTGTCTTATTCTCAACTTCAAGATGCACTACACAGGGAACACTTAAACAGAAATTCAATCGAAGTATGATGAACATGAACAACCAAGTTAATGCTCACGTTAACATTTTTTCACCAATTTTTCAAACAGAACAATCAGATCAAATATCATTTATCCCTCAGCAAGTTATCCCAAGACACTGAGTGAGTGATGTATGATTCTCTTGAAACTTATGCTTCCATACTTAATCAACTCAGCAAAGATGTGTACGGCCATGTCAGTCTTCTAGAAACATCAATCAACTGAAGTAATGGCACTTAAAATTACTAATTTAAGTGCTGAGTGGGACAGAATCCACTATCCCCCTCAAAACTCCCATGATGCACCTTCAGAAGTGTTTTCAGTGACGTCTTGCAGTCATTTTGACACCATCTCATGAAAATGAGCAACAGTGGGCATTCTCTGCAATATCTCAGATGCTGGAATCAAAAAACACTGGGATCAACATGAGCTCACTTCGGTGTTACATTTCATTGTGAAATACAAGAATAAAAGAAACAATGCTGCAGCCAATAATTACCATATGTACCTTCTTGGCCCGGGGTGTGGTCTCACTAGGTTCTGCTAGCTCAGGACCGTCCTCTGATCCAAGATTGGAACGGATGGCTCGATTGCGCCATGTTGTCACAGCTTGGGCTTGTTTTTAACAAAAAAGTTTCCCGGTTAATTATTCTCCCTTGCATGTTTTTTTCATGCCTTCCTAAATGCTTTTTAAGCCCACCAGAAAGTTACAAGATTTTTTTTGTAGAATGAGGAAGGTAGAGTGTGAGCTCCAGATTCTATGGCATTCACTTCCCCTGAAGGTGATCCACATTAACAGATGGCAATATCTTTGATTTGTTACAAATAAAGACTTTCCCTTTAAGAAACATATCTCAATATGCATAACATACCTAGGGAACGTTTTAAAACCAAATGAATTTTTCCTTTGTGGCTGTGCATTTACAGCAACAAATGGCAGTGACCAAACAAATATCCAAAGGGATAAATGGCATATACAACAATCATAACAAAGTCTGGTGCCATCCACATCAACAGTTTGCACTTTTTAAAAGAAAAATGGCTTCCTTGAAAGAAAGGTCTATAATTCTCACCGAACTGGAAGACACTGAATCGTCTCTTGCCACCAGCCCCTTCTGCTAGCCTCTCATCATCTAGCGCACAGTCAGTGCTGCGGAATTTCTTCTTAAACAGGTGCCGTCGCAGGCGTGTGCCAGGACTCACATCGCCCCCTTCCCCACCGTCCTTCGATGGGGGATTGGGCAGGTTTTTGTCCGAGTCGGACTTGGTCTCACTGAAACTGACAAAATGAGGGGAAAACATGAAATCACATACTTTGCATTTTTGAAAATAAAGTGATAAATAATGATGACACCTATCACGGGGGGAGCCTTGTTGAATGTAACTTTCAAAGAATGACATTCTTGACTGTTGTTGGTTTGTGAAATCTTGTTTTATCATTGGATTTGTTCGATGCAGTGGTACAGTAGTACAGGTGAAAGGATGCATACATTTTTACAGCCACAGTTCTGTCAGTTTCTTTTTAGGTTATTTCTTTGGCTCATTCTTAAGAAAACAAAGAATGAAAGAGGTAAAACACTTCTCCATGAAAACTATCCATAAGTTTAAGAATGTAAACTAAACTATGTGAGTAAAGTGGTTTTCCTACTTCGGTTTGCTTTTTTTTCCAGCACGTATTCGAACAATTCAACATTTTGTACTTCAGTTCATGAATAAGATAATAAACCTACACATAATTAAGTTGTGATTTTTTGGGGGGAGGGTGGAACTGTATTTGGATGACTCACCCCACTTTGCCAGTTTTGTCTTTGTCTTTTTCATCTTGTCCCTTGCCAGAGGAATCAATGAGTCCACTCAGTGCCACCCTCCTGAATACCCCACCATGGGCTTCACGGATGTAGTGAAGAAGCTGCCGCACGTCACTGTACAAAGCCTGAAACATATTTTGGGACACAATTTGACAGTGCATGATATGATGCCTCACCTTGATACATTCATTAAACTGGAGAGGGAAATAATTTGGAAATAAAACTTTGGAGTTCCATTTTCCCTCCAACTTAATTATCCAGGTAGGGACAAAAATTCAATTTAGTCCATTTGTTTCTCAAAACAATTTTTAACAAACCACCTTTGGGAGAAACAGTTTTTTTTTTAATGTCAATATTTTCCAAAATCAAATTATTTGGAGTCAGTGGGTTCGTAATCCAACTATTAAACATAATTTCTTAATTTTTTTTTCCAAAATTGAATGATTCAGAGTTGGTGGGTTCATAATCCAAATAACAACAAAATATTGGCCTACGGGTGCTAATCACTGTAGTAGTGGTCATCAAGTCCATCATAAATCCCAGCAAGTCCATCATCAGCCATTTCATGAAAGGTTCCGGTCCTTTAACAGGTCTGGTTAATAAGCTGCCTGGTCGCCAGCTTCAGGCATTACGAGGCTTTATATATTACAAAGTTATACTTCTTAACCTTGTGCCCAAACTTTAGAGTGACCCTATATGTATATGTGCTGGTACTTTACAGTGAAAAGTTGCTGTTGTCATTGCTGGAGCCAGATGCAGAATTATGACATTGGTACATGTATGTCATTTGAGAGTTTCATTTGTCTCTTCAAGAAAATCTTAGAACTCAGCGGAGGTGAATTTTGCCTTTCATCGCTCATCGTAATATCTTTGCCCTAAACAAGAAATTCCGACAAGTAAGGATTTGGGGCCAATTTGTCCCTTCTTGAGACTTGCTTTCACGCATGACACCAGCATTCAAAGCATGCAGGGTGGCATTGCAGAGGGTGTATTCACTGCCCTGTAGGTGCGGTTGAAGTCAATAAAACCAAACTTACTGAGTTCTCGGGGGCATTGAGCTCCTCCCTGGAATTGGCCATCCGGGTGACCAGGGCCTTGAAGATGCTGCCCACAATGGTTCCCTCAATACCCCGTACCCCGGTGCCCGCCACCCCACTGCCAAAATTGGTGGCGAAGCCCCCGCGGGCGATACCCTCATTGGGACCGGTGCTGGGCCCTGCATTGTAGAAGGGAGAGCCTGCACGCACACTCACAAATGATGTAGAGTAGCATAGGAAGAGGTGGGAGGGATAGGGGAGGAGACAAGAAAGGGGAGAAGGCGGATGTAACAACAGAACCAGATTAACCATTGAAAGCAAAACTATAGGACACAACTGAAATACTGCATATGTCCAGGACTGAAAGAACAAGTGGGCTGATCATGTGTTAGGGTATAGACAACCTACAAAAGAACACAACATGGCTTGAACCATATCTGTCTTTGTCAAGGAAGAGATTCAGAATACAAAAACTTGAAACTTGGGCTTATTTGTGGTTTCATTACTTAAAAATTACCACAGCAGCATCACATATCAGCATTACTTCAAAAGTTCTCTAGTGAGTGAAATAGCATGGAATAAGCCCGACAACCAAAAACATGAAATGATAGATGCACGTCAAGTGCCAATCTACAAAAGAAATTGGCAACATTTTCATGAACTGTTTGTGCCATAGCCGAATATCTTTCAGGAAATGCCTTACTTTGGGGTAATGCATGGTTCTGAACATAAAAATCCTACATGTAATTAAAAGACAATCTGCTGTCGTGAAAGCTACACAATACAGACAAGTTAAAAAGGCGGCCCTGACATTCTCTTCAAGTAGTTGAAACTGCTAAAAGCTTGATCTCGGATGTGTTCAATATTTAACATGCTTTACACCAAACTGTCTGGTGCTGACGATACCTGGCCGGTGTGGTATCCTGACTGGGTCTTCACAGAAGCCCAGCAAGGCATGCAGGAAGTCCAGGATGTTTTCCAGTGGGTGAGTGCTGATCATGAATCGTAGGTAGCGGCGGAACTGGGAAGGGTCAATCTTGAACATGCGGTTCAGACATTGCTGGCCCATCAACCGCAGCTTGTCACCTGTGAGGCAGAAAGGGATCCAAGAAAAAATCAGTCCTTGTGGTTCTTTGTAATTTTCTCTACTTGACTTTCATGTGCGTACTAGAGCCTTGATGATGTCACATTTTGATTGTGTAGATACATAAAGGGGATCCTGAATCAAGTTTTGGGGTGCAGCAGAATCTTTGGGGGGGGGGGGAGGAACCGAGGATGAAATGTTATGGAAATATTGTCCTTTTCAAAGTATACATGTGTGAAAAACCAATGAATACAAGGGCCTCATTCCCCTGAATCTGCCAATGTGTAGATACTTACTGTTTTTCACTCTTCTGTGCACACTTTTTGTGAGCACACTAAGTGATTCTAAGAAGCAGTGTTATGACACACTGGTACAGCCAAGCACAGGTGCTTGTAGTCTGATACTGAAAACCATACTATCCGTCCTTTTTAAAGTTACATGTACTTCTAACCCTGACACCTACAGTGTGGGAAATGGGACTTAACTATACATGTAGCTCTAGTCAACTAAACCATAATCATGTTAAATTTAACAAGATTCTGTGTGATTTACAATAAACCTCAGGCGTTAGGGCCACTGAGAGTCAGCATAAAGGTGAGATTGAGGTTAAAATAAAAATTCACAAAACTTTTGTATGGAGGGGTTGTCATGGTGAAAAACTATTCAAATAATAGTGTGTCTCAAATGGCTACACGATTTGGGTAATCATACACTTGCTTCTTTTATGTGAGGGAAAAATATGCAGTACATATGGAACAATTAAATCTCTACAAGTCCGAAATTTGGGAGTTGGGTTGGCGTAGTGGTTCTCTCCTTGCCTTCCACCTCTGCGGTCCGGGTTCGATTCCTGGCTCTGTCCACATGTAGATTGGATTTTCAGTCCCTACCTGATTCCGTGGGTTTTACTCAGAATATTCCTCTGGGGTTTTCCTCCCACCTCTAAAACTGTAACTGCTTCTCATTGTCTCCTCTCCACAGGTTTCTTCAGGCTTGCGAGCTACAGTGCCTAGGGCGCTTTTGAGGAATTTTTGGTGTCATTACCAGAAATAAATAATTACTAGAGCTTATCTGTCTGTTGCCAACAGACCAGATGGCTTTTTCGCCTTGTGAAATTTGACCAATTAATCTACAGCATAAACCTTTTGGTGGAATGATTTTATCATGTACATATAGGTTCAAGTTTGGAACCCAATCAAACATGCATTTCAAGAGACATAGCGCTTGGAAGAGTGTCCCTGTAATGTCACGTGACATGATTATCTGATGACGTCACCATCACATACGGTCAATTTCATCTATAACGCCTCCCTTTCTAAATACCTGTCAAGCTTCAACCCAATCGGACATGCACTTCAGGAGATACAGTACTTTAAAGAATGCACCTTTAATGTCACATGATTTGTCAACTAATGATATCATCATCATCACATGAGGTCAATATTTGCCTAAAACACTTCCTTTTCAAGATATCTGCAAAAGTTTGAACCCACTTGGACATATACTTTAGTTTGATGAAGATCCGAAGTTGCAAAAGGACCAGAGTCATGGGTAGAAAAAATGTGCACAAAACAAAGGTGAAGAAGAAGATTGAACAACCAATCTACTGCACAAACCTGATAATTATTTCATCATGACCATTTGGGTCCAAGGTTTCAACCCAATCAGGTAGGCACTACAGGAAATAACTTGTTTTAAATAAAATAAAATTTGACTCCTCATTTGATGTCATCATCATATCAGGTAAATTTTCATCAAGAACACCTCCTTTCCTTGATATCTGCAAAGTTTGAAATCAATGGGAAGTGTACTCCAGGAGATATAGGGCTTTAAACAGGGCACCTTTAATGTCATGTGACTTATTTGATGATGATATTGTCATCACCTGAGGTCAATCTACGTTTATAAACCTTCCCTTCCTAACTATCTGTAAGAGTTCAACCTAATCAGACGTGTACAGTACAAAATACAATACAAAACAATTGTTATCGCAGAAAAATCACAGATTATAGATTTTAAACATTTGTCCCTTTTGGCATTAGATACAATGCAATCTGCTCTCCGCACCACGTGCTCAGCATTTTGCCCGATCCTGAGTACATGCCCAATGCACTGTGCGCTACCTGCCTCGCGTTACAGGCAGATATTGTGCATCCACGCACACAGCAGCCAATGCACAGTATGGGAAAGGGCTTTTCGAGTTCGCAAATATTTTAAGGGTTTTTTGTCATTGGCGCTTCATCTGTGTGAAGAAGTACACCACTTATGCACTTCATACAGTTGACTTCAATGTTTTAGCTATCATATAATGAACAATTCAAGGTTAAATCTGTTACGGTTGTTTTTTAACCCAATTTCAAAAAATAAAAGAACTTTTTATCATAACTTCCGATCTGATGACGTCATCGGCCCTAAATTTCACACGTGTTGACTGGGTGAAGATCATTATACAAGTCAATTTTCAGGCAAATCGGACGCAGACATCTACTCAAAATTCATTTTTCAGAATTTGTAACCTGTTGCTAGAGGGCGCTCGATAATTACACGACATCATCAGTAGATGATTTGAAGAATACTATACCCCCACCGACTACACCGTTGAAAGCAAGTTGATACCTATTACCACTTTTAAACAATAAGCCCACTTTCAGTTTCGACCGGAAGGGTGAGTCACGTGATTTGACCCACACAAGATAAACAGAAGACCCAATTTCACCTTGGCACTTGCCACAAGCAGAATGTTGCGGGTAGCCATGGTTGATTCTATATGGATTTTAAACTAATTAACTTAATATTTAACTATTTGAAATTTAATAATAAATCAGTTGATGACGTCTTTGTGACATAACTATCTGAGTATTATCTTTGCTTTGAGGTTTATCTTTGGTGTAACTTTGATGACATTTGAATATTGCTGAACAACCAAAACGTTGCCTTGAAAACATGTGCAAAGTCAATGGGCTGAAATAATATTGAAAAATCAATAATAAATCATTTGATCAGGTTATCATGATGTCATGCTTCGCGGACCATCTATGCATAATAGTCCTTCATTGGTACAAGTTTGATAAAGATCCAAAGTTGCAAAAACAGTAAAGTCGTGTACAGAAAAAAACGTGCACAAAGTGAATGGGATTTGCGCCGAAGACGAAGAAAAAAAAAAAGAAAGAAAATGGGATGACAACCTGACACTGAGTTCAGCACATACATATTACAATTTTCTAACACCAGTCAGCAATATTTGACTGACTAGCTTTCCCTCCCGACAGCCCAGCTGGCACACAATCCAACCTCGCAAGCAACACGTGCCAATGTTTAATTATGCACATTACTAGATTAGTTTTCAATTTGTATCGACAATCCCCAACCTGGGTCCAGACGAATAATTATTCACGGTACATCAACTCTACCAGTAATCAGCCCTTCCACCAAGGGCCAATTAACCATACTTTGTAGTTAACACCTTCATCACAGAGTCAACCACGTAGTCATCGATTTCCTTATTGACTGCCTAATGTATGTATGTGAAGGATGACACACCACTTCAAGGACAGATTACAGTATGGGTATATTACCAGTGCACAATATGCTGATTTTTTTCAGAACGTACAGGTATTCTGTATGTGTACCATTGCCGTTCCTTGTACATACCATTGACCATATGTTGTGATTTGAATTCTGCATAGTTCACTGCTTGATTATTTTGTACTGTATTACCCAGTGGTGTCAAGCACATGCCATCCCAAATAATATTGGAGTACGACCCCCCTAGTGATGTACCACTACATTAAGAAAAAATTTCTTCACATAGAATTAGAAACTTGGAGAAGATGTAATTAATCTAATAACCTCTTTCCTGAGAAATGTTAATTGGATGAAATACAAATGGAATTAAACTTCTCCACTGGTCAATACCCTAATACATATCAGCTTGTAGTAACTGATCTGAAGTTCTTGACAATTGATGAAGTGCCTTTGAAGATAAAAACCTGACCTACATCTACAGGGGTACCACTGAATTGGATCTACCTACATTCACCAGCAGCAAAATGTTTCTCGAAGTGAGGACATGTGTAAGACCCGCAGACATCAGCCATTTGTAGACCAACCCACTACCCACTGGCCCCTTCCTTCCTTCCATTGCCAGTGTTTACCCTATATACCTGGGGCAACATTACTAGAATACAGAGCACCTTAACCACTTTGCACCGGGGTTAGTTATCAATGTTGATGATGCTGGGTCAGGATAATTATAATTTTTTTCGTTTTCAACGTTCTTCAAAAATTCATCATTTCATTTAACGGACGTTTATACCCACACGAAGTAATCTCTAGGCACTACTCTAAGTGGACAGGTGATCTTCAATGACTCCCGAGTATTTCAGCCGGGCCTGCAGCCTTAAAAAAGAGCCCAGATTGTGCAGTGTTATCTAACTTTCTTTTATTCACGAACCTGCCACAGTGCGCTGCTGACCTCTTTTCAATAGGGGCCAGATTAGCAGCAGTGCTGTGTGGCTCATCGCTGCAGTGGTGGAGCGCTTTTGCCGCCGGTGGTAATGCGCTCGCTCTAAACACTCCACTGTTTTTGGAACAGTTTTTGTTTCTGTTTCTGCACACTACATGACACATGCGCGAGATTATGGTACATATTTTTAAGTCGGCAAGTATCACGCTGGTAATGAGAAAACATCACTCTGTTAGGGATGGTCTTTACCAAATGTTGTGCCCTCTTTTGGAAAGGACTGATACTGTGTTTCACATCTTAAAGCTGTTTTAAGTTGGGTTTCTTGAAGTAAGTCTCTGAGAAACACATATTGAAAGGCAGGCATTAATTAACACATCAAATGTACATGACCAACACATTTCAGTTTGCAACATAAAGACAACTAAGGAAATTCACAACTTAAAGGAACAGCAGGAAAAACAAAAACAAATGACCTAGAAGGAAAACGGATTTGAGCCCCCCAGCACAAATATATGAGTGGGCAAATGTCATTCCACATAC